TCACTACCACTGTGATACGAGGGCCAAGACGTTATCACTGATGAGCAACTATTATACTCTATAATATGCGCGTTTTGCGATAGAGCGCAATTGACGGGTCTGGAACCTCGAATAAAAAAAGAGAGAGAAGAGAAAGAAATGGTGACGCTGAGAAAGTACTAGTTGGTTCAAAATCTAGGGCTAACAAACTCACGTTGGTCCATATTGGACCTCTGGGGGCTGCAGTGGCTGGGCCGCTGGCTCCACGACCGCGGCCAGAATTCATCAGTCATACTCAGACCAACCAGAGAGGAGATGCTACATATGTATGCCCTGCGGGTTCAAGGCTACAACTGGAGCCTTCTGCTGTCGGAGCTCTTTTACTTCATTCGTCTAACTCTGTAGTTACCAGGAGTTACACTCTATCCTCTTTATCGGCACCAAGTAGACGCCTAAGAAGATGACGCCCAATAACTGGGGCTCGATCCTCACAATCATGCCGATTCTATACATGTTCTGAGTGACGTCAGCCCTGAGTAGATGCGAGTTCGGTATGAATCATGAATGTACTCGATTCGACATGGAGTATTTCGAGCAATTGTCTGTGCTGGATCCGCTTGTAAGGCCATGGTCACCAACCAAACGGCTGGTCTGGTCATCTGGGGTTGCCACGGCTTGGCCAAACCCAGAAGGTGCATAATGCCCGAAAGTTGGTTGTAGTAGTAGCTGAAAACACGCTTGTGCATGGACGAGGCTCAAGCTTCTGGTCATCAACTTGATCCAATGCCAAGGCCCCTTGATCTGGCCAAGTTCACATGTTGGTCGCGGGTAGGATGAAGCAGGGGTCACATTCGTCTTCTCGCCAATCTCGAGCTGCTGCCAACATGTCAAGCTGGTACGAGCTTGGAACGGAAGATCCAGACATGCTCGAAACAATCTGCTGGCTTTTGATGCGCTTGCTTAGCCAGAAAGCCAAGCTGCCGTTGTCCGATCAAGGCACTCTGAATGCTTTTGTCCGAGTGCTGTCGTTTTGATGGAGCTCTCTTCCGGCCGGACCCAGAGCGCAGGGATATCATGCCAATTTGTTCATGCTGGCTGCTGTTCCTGCCATGCAGCTTATTGCGTGTAGACGTCATGTAGCTGTGTCGCTCATAGCGTTGCGATTTTTTGTCAATCAAACGCCCGTTGCAAGATTTTCCTGAAAGATATATAGTCAAGCAAGAAGACATGCCGCCATCTCCCAGATCAAACCGATCTCCCCTTTAGGTGCCGTCGTCAACTCACACGTGACCCCGGGTGACTCGACGCACGGCCCCTTGCGGTTCTGGTGTTGCACGTGACCAGCTAACGGCTGCTCCAACGCAGATTGTCGCCGGTGCCATCTAGCATCAACGAGAGAACGACGATCTTGGGTTACCGCTTCGATATCGACCACTATTATTCTGCCAAAGTATCTGTTGGGTTATTCAATGATTATAGCACGTCATCCCGTCCAATCGTTATTGTACGTACGTTCCCATATCATGGTGCAGGGTTTGTTGAGTTGCCGGATCCTAAGCCTGGCTTCGCGTCATGACCCTCAAAAGGGCAAAGCCCAGCTAACTATTTCTCTCCACTTGTCACAGCATACTCCCAAACTGAGCAAACAGCTGAGGATTGGGGCTTCTCGCCGCTCATCGCGCTTGGCGACTCGACGTTAGCATCTGGCAAAAAACATTTCGACCTCGGCGACCCAAGCATCCCATCGCGACTCCACCAACCTCCTCCTACTCCACCTCCGATGTGGCATTGAGCGCCAGCGCGCGACATACACAACAGCTCTGGGCTCTCACGGCGGCATATGCAAAAGTCCTGGCTTACCCGAGCCCATGCGCAAACGCGAGCCTCATATTCCACCCTCTCCTCTCATCAACTCGCGGACAGCTACCGATCAACCCTACCGTTCGACAACCCCCCAGTAGCTTTATAACCTCGCACCAACAGCTCCCGATCAGAACACCGATGCCGTCGCGACTGAGCTTCGGTGAATCGGCATATATATTCTTTCGCTAACACAAAAAGCTGGCACTGCAAAGCAGACCAGTACTTGCTGCCGCGTCGTGTACCGGCAAGCCCTACGCCAATACACTTGCATTTGTCTGCTGGAAACCTCCCTCGACGGCATGTACTCCCAAAACCATCAGCAGGGGCACAATACCCGGCTGAATGGGGCGGGTCGAGGAATGCCGAATATGCTTTACAGCTTTCAACAGCACACTCAGCATCAGCATCAAACCCAGCCCCAGCACCACCAAGGCCTTCAGCATGATCACGGCATGCCCTCGGCGAACGGTCTTGCTCACCACACGTCCTTTGGGTCTAGTGGTCTCTCGACCCCCAACGCGTTCAACTCCAGCGTCCTGTCAAACGGACACGCAGCCAACCCGCGAAGCGGCCAAGCACCCCAGAACGAGATGTGGCAGGAACAGTTGCGTATGCAAAAGGAGGCAGAGCGGGCTCATTCTGCCATGACCGACCAACAGCAGCCTCACTACTACGCAAGACTAAAAGCGTCTGAAAACAGAGGCATCGGCGGTCCGCCTCCTGCGAGCGGACGGACCCAAGCAGACGGAGAGAATGATCCCGAGGACCGGAGACGCCCGTATGTGGTCGACAAGGAATCAAACCGACAAGATTGGCACAACATGGACATGTCTGGTCAAGGCCTTCGAAACCTAGCACCCGAGCTGTTTCAGTACAAGTTTTTGAACGAGCTCTTCATCGCTTCGAATAAGCTAGTCCGACTTCCCAAGCTCATCGGTGAGCTAAGGCAGCTGCGCCATCTCGACGCTTCGTACAACCAAATATCCGAGCTACCGGCCGAACTCGGCATGTGTACATACCTCAAGACCCTACTACTTTTCAACAATGAAATCCGAGATCTTCCATTCGAACTCGGCTCGCTCCACCAGTTAGAAATGCTGGGAATCGAGGGCAATCCCCTGGACCCTGGCTGGAAGCAAGAGATTATGGAAAAGGGCACAAAGAGTGTGATTAATGCGCTGAAAGAGGGAGCACCAGGTATGATGCCGTCCATTTTGTCATGGACAAGATGAGAAATTGATGCAGAGCCTTTTTTTTCTTTTACTAATGAGCGACTATTCTAATTAGTTCCCGACCCCCCGTCCCCCCGAAAGGAAATCGTCATACAAGAGGACGTCTCTGCCAACCTGGAACGAATCAAGGTATTCTCCTGGAATGTGCTATGCGATAAATATGCTACCCCGCAAACGTATGGCTACACGCCCACAAATGCGTTGAACTGGGAATATCGCAAGAGTTGTATTTTGGATGAGCTGCGATTGAGAGATGCCGATTTCCTGAGCTTGCAGGAGGTATCGACAGATGCTTTCAAGGAGGACCTGAGCCCCGAGCTGGCGCAGATGGATTACAAGGGTGTCCATTGGCCCAAGTCCCGCGCCAAGACCATGTCAGAGAAGGATGCCCAGACGGTAGACGGATGCGCAGTGTTTTACAAGCAAAGCAAGTTCATCTTGCTGGACAAGCAACTTATCGAGTTTGCCACCATTGCCATCAACCGACCTGATATGAAGAACCAGCACGACGTGTTCAACAGAGTAATGCCGAAGGACAACATTGCCGTCATCTGCTTCTTTGAATCCCGCCTCACTGGAGCTCGTATTATTCTGGTCAACGTGCATCTTACGTGGGACTCTGCTCTGGCAGATGTCAAGGTAATTCAGACCGGTATCCTCATGGAGCACGTTACCAAGTTGGCCGAGAAATATGCCAGGTGGCCGGCGGTCAGGGACAAAAAGATGATCACGGTACCTCTGCCAGATGACGCCGAGGCTCCGGAGCCACAGGCCGAACCTGGTCCAAGCCAAGAGTACCGGACCAACACCGACATACCGCTCCTAGTGTGTGGTGACTTCAACTCTACCGAGGGCTCATCTGTGTACGACCTCATGTCCATGGGCAGAGTTCCTCCGGACCACCTGGAATTGACCAGCTACCAGTACGGCAGCTTCACCCGAGACGGTATCGAGCATCCTTTCAGCCTGAGGGATGCCTATGCACACACAAAGAAGACAGCAGACGAGATGCCCTTTACCAACTACACACCCGGGTTTGCCGATGTCATTGACTACATTTGGTACTCGACAAACACGTTGGAAGTTGCGGAATTGCTTGGCCCCCCGGATGCCGAATATCTGAAGAGAATGCCTGCCTTCCCCAACTGGCACTTCCCGGCTGATCACATCCAGATCATGGCCGACTTTGTCATTAAAGCTCGCAAGGACAAGAAGCCAAATCAAGATCGCGAGCAGCAAGCGGATTCAGGCGGCCCCTCTGGACGAGGCTGATGACTTGCAGTAGGCTTGGCCAGCTTGACATTGTTTTCACGGTGCTTCAAGTCGCGAATGCGCGAAGACACCTCAAATCTGGATGTAGTTTTTTTTTCTTCTTTTTTTTGGGTTCTTTTTGCAAATGGAGTTCAAGGATCTTTTGCACGGTTGGGGTGGGATCGGGTGACAGGTGTACCTGTGGCATGTATACAGAAGGGACGGAGGGTGTGCGACGGGAGGAAGCAGGGAGGTTGTAGGACTTGATTGACGACATTCTTCTGTTCATTACTCGCTCTTGATATTCGTATGACCGATGTGACTGTGATGGTGATGTTTGGACGCCAACCTGTGGAGAGTGGCGCAATTCTTCAGGACAGCCCGATGCTTGGGAACGACTTGTTGTTTAGCAGGATAAGGAATTGACAGCGTCTTCCCAAACGGTCTATTCAGGAGGCATCTTGTGTATCATGTATAATTGAGGCTTGTCCGAGGGCCAGTCGATTGCGTATTGACTCCCCTTCACTTTTGGAAACATGCGTCATCACGGTCATTCACTTTTCTCTTGTTTTACGCATATATATCCGCACACAGCGGCAAGGGAGGCCAGATAAGAAACCGAGATGAAGATGGCCACCAAAAGACAACATGCAAACGGATTATTCAGGGCCGTTCTCAAAGCTCCTCTGTGACACCGTTTTTGTCGCCCACAGTCGTATGAATTAGATGGAATTTGGTTTGTTGTCCATAGACCCATTCAAAACTTCCCGACCCCTTGCCGTCTTCAACCCAGTAAACATCTTCCTCAAGTGGGAATTTGAGAGAAGCGTTGAGCTCCGGCACAAAGTGATCCGCCAGGAGTTCAACGCTGTACCAAGTGTGATCGAGGAGAGGGAGGTCGCCTATGTCGGGGACGCTGTCTTGTAAGTTGGTCATTCCTAGTCTCGTCAGTGGCTGCCGAGGGGAGAATAAGAAGCAAAAAGGGTGAGGAAAGCCTTCTCACCGATTACGGCACCTGCAGAATGCCCCCAATCCCCAATGGCATGGCAGTAAATCTTGCCTTCGAGCCCCCCCTGGGTCATCTCCTCCCTAATCGCCTTGAGGACCTGGTTCCCCGTGGCGCCGGGCTTCATGTGCTTCCTCGTCATGTCCTGCAGCTGGTTCCCCTTTTTCAAACCATCCTTCAGCCCCTGTGGGACGTTGTCTTCCGTTTGTCCCGGGAAAAGCACGTACGCCAAGTGCTGCGTGTCGGTGTTCATGCCCATGGCCGTGACGCCAAAATCAACATGCAGGTAGTCCCCGTGTTGAATGGCCCGCTCGTCCGTATTGTCCTGCGGCCAGGGCGAATCCTCCGACAGGATGGACACGTCGGGCTGAAACCAGGTCGTGTAGTTTAGCGACTGGATCTTGTCCCGCATCCACCACTCTACATCTGCCGTGGTGGTTTTGCCCGGCGTGATGACGGACGAGCTGAAGCCCTCGGATATGATGGCCCACGCCGTCTCCTGGAGCTTGCGGTACCAGGAAATGCGAGCGGGGAGTTGGGTGCCAATGTACTCTACGCCTAAGAGGGGATTGACGACGAATCGAGATGTCCATTCCTCGCCGAGGGCGGTGGAAATGGCTTCGTACTCACCTGCGTGGAGACCGCTGGAGAATGCGATTTCGGGATGAGCATTAATGGCGATGCTGGAGGGTTGGTGTTTCTCGAGGAGGGCTTTGAGCTCATCCCATACTCGGGGCGTGTTGTCGATCCAGGTGTATGCCGTTGGGGACTTGTCGGGCGTTGATGCAAGGAAGAGGCTTGTTGTCCGGCGACGTGCGGAGAATTGAGTTGCTGATTTGAGGGTCCAGAAGACGGTGTCTTCGGCGTATTCACGCTGGCTGATCTAGAAGGGGGAAGGGGGGAGATTAGACGTTTGTCTTTATACATGGACTTGTCCTGGCGAGTGGGATGTGAGAAGTACAAGCCATGCGTCTATTTTGTGCTTTTGCAATAGTCTCGGAATGGAGGCTTTACGCTGGGCTGTCCATTCATCTTGGAGAGCGGCTTGGTCTCGGAGCGAAGGGAGGGGCTGGTACTGGGGTTTTGGGTCGGCGACGGCCCGCGAGATAAACAGCAGGGCTGTCACGGATGAGAATTTCACCATTGGATTATGGACGAGTGAGTATGCTTGTTAAGAAGTGCTTGCAAGCGGTGGTGATTCCGGTGAAGATGGATGCGGATGCGGATGCGGATGGAAAGGTGATAGGCCGCGAAGCAACAGCACTAGATTGAATGCGGCAAGTCGCGGCTGCCACCACCACAGACGATGATATACAACTTACATATACTGTATATATTGCATAGCGTAGGAGGGATTTCATACTCGGCCAGTGTGCTATGCTGCATCCATGTTTACTATACACATGTCTGGTGAATAAATGTGTCGAGATGAGGTCATATATACATCTAAAAAGTCAAGCCAGCCGCTCTTCGCCCAGACACGCAAGGGCAACAACCCAAGCCAGGCAATACGTTCACACATACATGGTCTAGGCAGCCAATTCAAACCCCCCGTCTAATCTAATTTAGCAAGATGTCGTAGCCGTCCTTTGTAATGCGGACTTCATCCGCCCCATATCCATACTTGCGCCGTATCAATTCGAAAATAATCAACCCTGCACTCGTGCTCGGAACCTGTCTAATCGTGTTCCACCAAAAGCCACGGTACAACCACCTCGCCAGGCCCTGTCCCTCAGCAGCTGCCTCAGCCGTGCACCCAGCCCACGTCTCCTGGTACGCGTGATAGTAGGCTCGAAGCATCCTCCACGGCCGCCGGGGCCTGTCTGGGTTTGCCGCCCTCGCGGCCCTATACCTGGCGGCCTTTTCATCCAGGTCCTCCAAGTGGTCCCAGTGTTTGACCTGGAAGTGCGTCAGGGGGTGGAGGAGGAGCTGCTGCGAAAACGACGCGCTGAACCCGGCAATGAACAGAAACATGGGCTCTATTGCGTAGTGCGGTCGGATGACGGTGACTTGGCTGTCCCCGTCCTGCCGCGACGGCCGCTTCATGGCGAGAAAGTCGACAATGTCCTGGCCCAATCCGCCGTAGTACCACGTCACGAAGCGGTAGTACCCCTGCGCCTTGACGTACTCGAACATGCTGAAGAAGACGGCGCTGCCCAGGCTGTCCTTTGCAAACGAGAGTCCCCAGCCGGCAAAGATGCCCCGGAGGCCAATCTCTCGCAGTTTCTCCGCGCCAAAGGTCCACATGCTTCGTGGCCGGCTACTGCCGTCGCTGGGCATCAAGTCGTGGTGGTCGTACCGCGCTTGGAGCGCATCCAGGGGTGCCGCGACAACGCTCTGGAGGCCGCCGGCGAGGAAGCCTGCTGTGAATGTGTGCGTTGGCGACGGCGGCGGGTAGACGCGCTTGGTGGCCTTTGCGCTCTCCTCGTGCAAGTGCCCGAGGATATGTAAATAACTAGTGTACAGGACGGCGCCGACGCCGACGTTGGCAATGAGAGGCGGAAGAATCTGGTGCGGGATGACGCTCCATCCCTGCTGTTTGATGGCCGACGTGAGCACCCCTGGGGTCGTGCTCCTCATCCAAATCCAGGTATGCTGTAGAAACACCCTCATTCTCGAAGCCGAACCATCTTTGGCGACGGCGTCCAACATGCTCTTGAGCTGCTGGTGGTGGACGGTCCGCGCATACGCCAGGTAGTCGACGCGGGTCCGAAAGAAGGCCTTTGCCGGGGCACGAAAGTAAAAGGCGACGAGCTGGGCGCTCAAGGCCCGGACACCGGCTGCTGAGGCTGCCGTTGCAGCGTTGCTTCTGGGCGCGCGATCGGGATAGTCTTCTGGGTTGGTGATGACCGGCAACACGCCCATGGACGGCTCAGGGGACCAGGTCGGCGGCACCCACGGGGGAGCTGCATCATTGCGGCTGGGCATGGCTCTGGCAGCTCATGCTCATGGTGGACGATGGAGGTTTCCAGATTTGGGAGTGGGTTTTCCGGCCGGTGACGGGGTTTGTTGACGGGGTGTTGATGCTGGTTATGAGACGGCCAAGTCGAGGTGACCTGAGATTGGAAGCGGATGACTAAGGAGGTTATGCGATGAGGTGCGTTGCGATGGCGTTCAATGCCAAGAGCGTCGTGATTTTTTTTTTCTTTGGTGAGAAAAGTTCCTCCGTGTATATTAGAAGAGGAAGTAATATTACGAGAAGAAGGGAAAAAAAAAAGGAAAAGCAGAAGAAAAGGCCACATTATTCCAATGCCTGTTTTTTATAATCATCATGCGCTTTTCTACCCAGCTTTCATTGCCACGTGCATGGCACCTTCACCTGACCGCCGACAACATCCCAACATCCACCTGATCAACCCGCTTCAGTACGTAACAGCAAACAACGCCGACTCTCCAACTAGAAAATCAAATTTGTAGGTCGAGGTTATTGGACAAACTCCGAAGCGATGCCTGAACAGCCGCGTCTACCCTAGACAACTGCAGTGTCACTGGTCCCTTTCGCGAGTGACAGACTTTGGCCAGAGCATGATTGTTTAACTGGTCATTTATCGTTTGTATTCCCGGCACTGGGCTCACTAGCGATTCCGAAGACATACAGAGTGGTTTTTGAACGAGTAAATTGAGGAACAGGAAGGGCCATGGTTCATTATTACGCATCAGCATCGACACCTGGTTAACTCGTTCAAGAGCCCTATCCGCAAGGGGTGGATGTTGCAGAAATGAAATGAATGCCATACGTTGTATTTGCTACCTAGGAAGCCAATGACCAAGACCCTAGACATTCTCACTCTTCACAAACTCCTGGTCTTTTCGACTCCAATCAGTAAGGCGCTCGTTAAGATCCTTGGGCAAGGGATCATCTTGTGCGTCAGCATCTCTCAGCTGTAACGAGGAAGGGGCGCAGGAAGCTATGGCACCAAAGTAGTATAGATGAGCGTTTATATCAGTGACATCGCGGCCTGCATTACACTGGGTGCTAGCGATGCCTTCGCAGACCTTGATGTTGGCGATGGTATAGTCCGTCTTGTAGGTGTTTCCGCCGTTTCCGCCAGAAAGCCAGTACTCTGGCGTAATATGGCGGTAGCCAGAGAAGATGGGGGGAAGACGGGGGACCGGGTCATCTTCGTGAGTAACGCGCCACTGGCCGCCCTGTACGTTAGAGAACCAGCTTGCGAACCAGTCGTTACCAACGCGAGGGGATCCATATGTATATAGGTTGACCCATAGACCACTACGGCGAAGGTTGGCTGCGCCAATGGTCGCTACGGCCCCTCCGAGGGAGTGTCCGGTAAATACAATAGCATACTGAGGGTATCTCCTTCTAGCGTTCGTAATAGCCCTGTTAACAGCGACCTTAATCTCGTCCCAGGCCTGGGCGAAGCCGGCGTGAACTTGACATTGTTTTGTAAAGTTGCAATCAGTCCAGGAAAATATGAGGTTGGTGATGTAGTTGCGGATATTATTGCTACCACGGATAGACACGACGATTTCCCGGCGGAAAGTGTCAATGGCTACATAGGCACCGGTTCCGGTAAGATCGCCGCTAGGGGGACATTAGAAGAAGATTACCTTTATATATCAGAAATGTAGGAACTCACGTTACAGATGCCACCACCTTGACCCTGTTACGCGCAACAAGAGGACAGGCATTATTTCCGCATGCAATTTGCTGACCGGCAGGAACACCAATGTTGCAGTATGCGGCGGCAGAGTGCTGGGCGTAGAACCTGATGTTGGCAAAGTCGTTGTTGGATATACGAGCACCCCCTAGCGATAGTTAGCTGAGTTTGGGTATTGTAGGGGGCCAAAAGTGTTGACAAACATCTGGTCTCGAGAGCCTTGGCAGAATCATCCGCGGCAATGGGAGCACCAGCAGCAGCAATGGCTGCAAAACCAAGAGCAGTCTTGAACAACATCCTGGAGAGCGGGACCAAAGGACGAGAAAAATTTGATACTAAACTGTCCCGAGAGGAGGTCGTTGTAATGCAGGAAGCAGTGAAGACGAAGCTCTTTCCTGGCCTGCTGCTCTACCGGTCATGTTGTCCATGGGAAATATCTTGTTCTTATATGCCTCATTGCCATTTGTTTTTTTCTTGTCCATGGTATGATCCAGCATGATCTAGACCTATAGCACCAAATAATCGTTGTAATAATTGCTGGAATTGCGAATATTAGCCTTTATTTTTCCGCCGTGTGGCGCAGCCGCGCGGCGAATCGTGAAATATCATCAGTGTATCAAGCGAGTTCTAGTATAACTATCATCCCATGGCGGAGACGATAACCCATTAAAACTTGTAGCTGACTTTCTTTGACTGCTTGGCGCTTATGCATCAGTAGTTGTGCGACATGTCCAAATTGACGACCTTCTCGCAGAGCCACATACGTTTCATGTCCAGAAGCGTCAATTTGTTGAGCTTGTGTCAATTTTCATAATGTATGCAAATCTTTCATGCTATCCTGAAACAAGGAAAAATAAACAAGTAGAATGGTAGTAGAGGACAACGCGAGGCCACGACAGGCCCGAGCCGGTTGACCACGGCATATCATAACCCGAGCAGTGGAAACAACTTTCATAAGTGAGCTGAAGCAGTGACAATGGCTTTCAGCCTTCCTTTCTTTCCATGTACGAGGACAAGTTGGGTGAAAGTTGAGGGCACACCACTATGGTGGCAGTGATGGATCTAGCAATATCATCCTTCGTAATTTAATATCACACCCCACAACCTGCCACGCTGCATGGGCTCCTCCAAGGTCAAAGTGGCTCAATTCCCCAGGAAAAAAGCCAATAGGCACAGTGAGCTTAACAGAAACGACTTGCTCAAGTGTCGCAGCCGACTCGAGCGAGAGAGCGACATAACCAAGGATTACCCGACCAATACGACCTCTGGCTGGCTGGCAATTACCCCTGGCCACTTGTGTCAGTTCATGTGCGGAATTCTCCATCTGGCCCATGCATCGCGAGTTGTCAATTTCTTCGCACCTCATCGCTCCGAGGACCCGGTTGTGGGGCGGGGTCGACGCATAGTTGCACAATATTGCCGGACGATGCATAAGGTATCCAAGTCATAGCCCGTTGAGGGGTGGCCGACGTTACTCTATCAAATTCTGGGTTGAGGCAATATCCTGGGGCAGCTTGCCCCATCGGCTGGCATACACTCGTCCATTCTTCATGACTGCCAAAACCGTCTTCTCCGGCTCATCCAAAATGGACACATTGTCGAGCGGATTGCCGTTCAAGATGAGCAAATCAGCCGCAAACCCTTGCCTGATCTGGCCCAGAAACTTGTCCTGCCGCAAGAGCTTCGCTGCGTTGACCGTGGCACCCTGCAAGACAGTCTTGCTGCTCAACGCCTGCGCTCGGATGCCAAACTCCCTACTCTGCTCCTCGTGCAGCGGACCGAGCAGGTCTGAGCCGTGGCAGATGGTGACGCCCGCTTCTTCAGCGATGCGCAGGGACTCGAGGCCCTTGCTAAGGACTATCTTGTTCTTGGCGCGGTTCGCGGGAGGCAGGAAGCCGGCGTATTTGTCTGACCCCATGGCGTCGTAGGTGACGAGTGTGGGTGTCAGCCAGATGCCCTTGTTGGCCATATACCGCGCCGTCTCGCCGTCGATGAAGTTGCCGTGCTCGATTCCCTTGACGCCATTGTCCACGGCGTGGCGGATCGCCTTGGGTGTGTATGCGTGAGCAGTGACATATGTGCCGTAGGTGTCGGCGACCTCGGCAATGGCCTGAATCTCGGCTGCCGTGAATTGGGTATTCTCCAACTTGTCCGTTGGCGATGCAACACCACCTCCTGCCATGATCTTGATGAAGTCGGCGCCGGTGCGAAGTTGCTCCCTCGTGGCCCGAATACAGCCAGGCACGCCGTCAACGACTGTTGTCAGCGCGCTATCTCCCCCGCAGCATTTTTGCTTGTCGTGAACTCCTCGCATGTCGCCGTGGCCTCCAGTTTGTGACAGAGCCTTGTTCGAAATGAAGAGCCTGGGACCGGGAAATACATCATCCTCAATGGCCTCCTTGAGCGCCAGAGTCGCACCGCCTGTGTCTCGGACTGAAGTAAACCCCCGGCTGAGGATTTGGTTGCAGAGAAACGGCTGACGAAAATATGATATAGCCGGGTCGGAGGTTGAAATGCCTCCGCTTAAGCTGGCATCGCCGGCGACCGATGTAAGGTGAACGTGGCAGTCGATGAGCCCAGGGCAGATGTATTTGCCCGAGACATCAACAACGACGTCCCCAGGACAGCGCGTGATGTCCTCGCCAATTGCTGCAATCACACCTTGAGCGAGCTTGATTGTCTGCTTTTGGTGTATAGAACCGCTGGCAGAGTCAACAATATTGGCATTTTGGAGGATATACGTTTTCTGAGGCGGCAGTTTCCAAGGCTTAATCAAGATGTCGGGAATCGTCTTGTTGGCTGACGAACTAGTCTCCATGTCAGCGTCAGGTGCACAAGAACCGCTTGTTGCTGGATGAGATGCCATGGCCGTGACCGGTGCTTTTCGAATAGTCATGGCGTACGTTTAATCGACAAGCTGATGGCATGAATCCATACAAGATATTCTACAAGTAGCGGCTTGAGTGAGCGGCGGAAATTTGACTTTAAAGTTACATTGGTCCAGAGCGGGGAAGCGTGACTGCCTCGATGATGCTTTCTCGACTCCGCAACCCCAGAGCTAACAAATGTCAAATATCATGAAAGCCGGCAGCATGCAGCATCTCCACCTGCCAACCTGCAGCACTGTCAACAGCCAGTGAGCACCCATGGAGTCGGTGTCTCCTTGCATGTGCAGCTCTCCCACCAGCCAGGCAGTAGTGAAGCCTCATTTTTAGATCAAAGTGTATTGAATCCAAGTACTTCTAAATGGCTTTTAATCGGAGCCCCCTCCAGACCAAGCTTCATGCTCTTTGCGGAGACATGTTCCCAGTATACATGCATGTGAAAAAAAATCTCATTCTTGACGAGGTCCCAACTCCTTTGCGCCATCATGTTCAAAAGCCACACAGCATACGCTAGTCATGCATAAATCATTGCACCCATGTTTCCCAGTCAACTCTGACGTTATTGATTGCCATTCTCGTCCCGGCCATCTAGCCATTTGCTCATATAGGGACCATCTAACCAGTAGCCGAGTTTCTTGTAGTAGCTTCGGACACCAACACCAGAGATGATGCTAATCTTGTCGCTGCCGTGCTCCTCACGAGCAATTCTCTCGGCTTCCTCCATGAGCAGGGTGCCAAAACCCTGGTGCTGGAACTTTCTGGGATCACGGGCGTGTACTGGCACCGCAGTTCCGTAGACGTGGAGTTCTCGAACCATGCTGCTAGGTTGACCTGTCAACTCCTCTCGGTAGGTGTACTTTTCTGTGCATTTTCTCAAACGCAGCAGAGCCACCAAAATGTCCTGCTTGGGGTCTTCATAGGCAAGAAACGTTTCCCAGCCGCCATTCGCAGTGTAATCTCTGCGAACCAACTCAATTTGGTTTGGCCGAATCTTGTTCTTCACCTCATTGATACCAACTTCTCGCGTCCGCACATCTCGGCAAGTGGTTCCAAAATCCTTCATCCTGGCAAGCGCCAGCTCCCGCAAGTTACCGTTCTCCACGCCAGAAGTGACAAGAGGCATGGGAATATCTCTTTGGACGCGGTAAATTCTAGTCCAGGGAGGGATAAGTGCAAGTATTCTCGCAACCAGGTCGATCAGTCCGTTTGGCGTGTAGTTTTGGTATCTTCCAGTGCGCCACAGCTCGTACAAACCAGTCCCTCGAATAACCAAGGTAGGGTAGATTTTCAAGCCGTCCGTTCTAAAAGCTGGGTTCTCGAAATATTCACGGAATTGATCGATATCGCGCTCCATGCCGACGTTGGGCAAATCCGGCATCATATGGCTGACAACCTTGAACCCAGCATCCTTGGCGAGGCAAAAGGTCTCTGCCACGGCCGCGACGGTGTGCCCACGATTCGTGTCTCGCGCTACGTCCTCATAAAGGGACTGGACACCGACTTCCAATCTGGTACAACCATACCGCAACATGTCTGAAAGGTGTGGTTGAAGGCAGTAGTCCGGTCGTGTTTCAATGGTAATTCCGACGCACTTGACGTTGCTCATCTCGCCAGCCTCGACGGCCTCATCCACCTTGGACGTCTGGTATCCGCTCAGGGCATTGTGAAGTTGCGAAATAAAGTCCTCTCGGTATGACTCGGGCAGCGACATGAATGTTCCTCCCATGATGATGTATTCGACCTTGTCCACTGAGTGGCCTAGCGACTTGAGCTGGTCCACACGCCCTCTGGCCTGCTCAAAGGGATCGTATCGGGCACGAATGGCTCGCATCGAGGTAGGTTCGTAGCCGGTGTAGGACTGGGTGCTGTATTCAAAGTCGGAGTCGGGGCCACCAGGGCAATAGACGCAAATGTTTCCCGTGTATGCAATATGAGGGCATCGGTGCGGCTTGCACATGACGGCAACGACAGCAATACCAGAAGAGGTTCCTAGTGCGCATGTTAGAACGAGTTTGTAGCACACCACGGAAAGCATTGGTGTGTCGTACTGATGGGCTTTGCGATCAACTTGGGTAGGATATATTTCTTGTAATGTTCTGGGATGGCGGCGATGATAGCAGTCAACGGAGGGATGTTGGCAAGCTTGTGCTTCTTGGCCAGCTTGGATCGCAGTGAGTTGAGGTTGATATCCCGGCCAGCCTTGCCGTCCTTGGTTGACTCGTGGTCTTCAATCAGAGCATTGGCAACGTCGGCGCAGCATCGCAGGAAGCGCTCGCTCTCTGGCGCAAGGTCGGCACCCTTCTTCTTCGGCATCGGGACCGCCGTGACGGTCATGGTAGCTGTCGCCATGGTTGCGCTCAATGAAATCCGTGGATACAAAATTTGATCGCCGTACAACAAGAGAAGTCGTGATCCCGCGCCTCGTCGATGATGGCGAGAGAAAGCTGGCGGAGAGAAAGTGCCTGCTTGACTTTTTTGATGTTGATGGCGGGGCAAAGTCAACCTTGAGAGCCCCACCCACCTGGGTCTCCAACTGGCAGCCGCCCACTCCAACTGCCACGTCGCCGCAGGGCAAGGTGGAAAGGTTCCAGTCCACTTGCATGGCTTTTCCCGGAAAAAGACACCTGCCGGAGTCCGGGAGCACCCGAAAGGGCTCCGAGCTCTGTTTCTTGTTCTGGCGATGCTTTTCGTCTTGCAAGCTGCAGCTCAACCAACCTCGAGTACCTCCATCCATTGCCTCTGGCCAAGCGTTGCAGGTGCAGCGTTTTTGAGTCCATCGTCCTCTCCCCTCCTGTCTCATCATGCAGGCCATTCCCAGGGCTGCGGTGCGCTCTGCTGCGCTCCGCAACGTCGCCAACCGCGCCTACAGCAGCTCGTCGTCCCCTTACTCCAAGACCATTGAGAACCTGCGCATCAACGGCGACACCAAGGTCATCTTCCAGGGCTTCACCGGAAAGCAGGGAACGTACGTGCCAATTTGGACCAAACCTTTTTCCTGTCACGTAAATTTCACGCTGACAAGCCATGCGGTAGTTTCCACGCCCGGCAGGCCATCGATTACGGTACGAAACAAAAAGCCTCGAAACACCACCACATGACTAAAAAAAAAAAAAAAAAAAAAACTATCAAGAGCCACCCGCTGACGCTGATATTGCCCAGGCACCAAGGTCGTCGGTGGTACCAACCCCAAAAAGGCCGGCAGCACTCACCTTGACCTCCCTGTCTTCAAGAATGTCAGCGAGGCCGTAAAGGAGACCGGCGCAACCGCCACTGCTCTTTTCGTTCCGTACGTACATGCACCACTGCCCTTACAAGCTCAATGCCCTTGTGCCAAATTCATCGCTGCTAATACACATCGCTTAGCCCGCCCGTGGCTGCTGCTGGTATCGAGGAGGCTCTCCAGGCTGAGATTCCCCTTGTTGTCTGCATCACTGAGGGTATTCCTCAACACGGTATGTTTGCCAAGACCCACAATGCCGTCCTGATGCTCGAGCTCCTACATACTGACCGTGATTTGTGACAGACATGGTTCGCATCACCTCCATGCTCAAGTCCCAGTCCAAGACTCGTCTCGTCGGCCCCAATTGCCCCGGTATCATTGCACCCGGCCAGTGCAAGATTGGCATCATGCCCGGCTTCATCCACAAGCGCGGCCGCATCGGCATCGTCTCTCGATCCGGTACCCTGACCTACGAGGCCGTCAACCAGACTACTCAGGCCGGCCTTGGCCAGTCTCTCGTCGTCGGTATCGGTGGCGATCCCTTTAGCGGAACCAACTTCATCGACTGCCTAAAGGTCTTCACCGAGGACGAGGACACCGACGGTATCATCATGATTGGTGAGATTGGTGGCTCTGCCGAAGAGGAAGCCGCCGAGTTCCTCAAGGAGGCAAACACTGTCGGTGGCGGCAAGCCCGTCGTCAGCTTCATTGCTGGTATCTCTGCTCCTCCTGGCCGTCGCATGGGCCACGCCGGTGCCATTGTCGCTGGTGGCAAGGGCGGTGCCGACTCCAAGATCAAGGCCCTCGAGGCCGCCGGCGTGATTGTCGAGCGTTCACCCGCTGGTCTTGGCAAGGCTCTGTACGACGAGTTCGTCCGACGAGACCTGTTGTAGGGCTGTAAGATTTTTTGTACAATGACTTTTCTGGGGTGGTGAAACTGGGCGAGGGCTGTTCAAAACCGAATCTATGAGGCGTAGACGCCAGCTAGTGTTCAAGGAGGTCTACTTGCAATTTTTCCTATTATCGTACGTATCAGATAGAATATGGAGGGTTGGCGGTTAATAGTGAACAAAACAAAAAAGACAAAGAAATCGCCAGTCTCCGACTGCACCAACTATAATTTTCTCTTTGCGGATGCATAAAACTATCCACGACGCAGCTCGCTCACTTGGAACCATGTTGGTAGCTTAATCACCCATGTATTTCATGCAATATCTGAACTTGGTGTCAGTAATTTGACGACAGACTCAGCATCGGAGTGTTCCGCGAGCGGATGCAAGACTCAAGTGTCTTTCATCGCATGTTTCTACAGCCGCTTCGCTCTGTTACATAAAGAAACTCTTTGCACCCCAAAGTGCGCGCTCCTCCTCGCAAGGAAAACAAAAACAAAAACAAAAACCTGGTTTAACAATGGGCAATTAATTCAAGATACATAAAACTCCCCTTCCTATGCAGTAGTTCGCTTCCAATGTTCCTTGATGCTATAAGTGTGTTTCATCCTCACGATGGATCCATGCCCGGTCGACCGCGTTCGGTTTCGATGCGCGCTCCGGAAGTCACTGTTCGCCGAGGAGCCGTGCGGTGATATCGCCCATGTACGCCTCCTCCAGTTCATAGTCCTGTCCATTGTTGCGGTCGATACCCACAAAAAGGAAGGCATCTACAACAGCATCGACATCGAAGCCCATGTTTACGAAGCGATCAACTAGGTCCTTGCTGAATCCTTTGTATCTATAGTTGGTGAGTATTCCGAGTTAGTCCTTGTTATTTCTTTATTGTACAAGACCGCGGAAGCAAATAAGGAAAAGAAAGACAAGGCGTTTCCTCACCTGCTCGCATCGTCACTTTTTGGCGCGTCGCTATTCTTGTACTGGCTCAGATTGAGTTCTTGTCTAGGTGCGCCGGCATGCTTGATGGCCCATTCTTGGGCGACGCGGGCAAACTGCTCGGGTTGTTGCATCAGCATGCATGCGACTTCGGCGTCTTGCGGATCTTTCGGGTTAGGAACTTCGAGGAGCATGCGAATAGATAGCAGTGCGGTCTTGATGGTCTGGACTGGCGACCAGCCTGACCCAAGGGTGTCTAGGCAGATGGCTCCCTAGTGTCCGGTTAGCTGGACTCTTGACCGACCATGCAGAGTACCACAAGGGTGCACGGGACGCAATGACGGGCCTCATGTGGTGACGTACAGTCTGGCTGCTGACATTCGGATGCCAGATTTTTGTGCTGAAGCTCATGGAGGGTGACTTAAACGGGTAGTTGTCTGGTATTCGAATATCGATTATGAAGGTGCCTCCATAGTACGGGGTATCGGGAGGGCCAGGGATGGTGCCTTTCAAGTGCTTCAAGTTGACGTCGTCAATAGGCGCAGCGTAGACTCCAGAGTTGTCCCTGTCCGCTTGAATGTCTTGAAGTTCTTTGGCCACACGCCGATCTCTGCTGCTCGTCATTGCGGTGATGATTATTAACTGTTGGTGAGTGAAATAGTGGCAAAGTTTTGGTAGCGGGTTGGTCACCGGGCACGTCGGTATTATATGCTCGAGATGTATGAGGAGACGAGTGGCACGGCGTGCAAAGGAAAGGAAAAGTGAAAACACAAAGAGAAGAGGATGGAGAGTCGCCGTTTGGAAAGTGGGATTAGGACATCGATCAAAGATGCGGGCTGGGGTATGCCACTTGACTTGAAGAAGAATACAGTACCTGGGACTGGGTGTTATTCTTCATACACCTGCAGGTACCTCGGTACTCGGTACTTGGCTCCTAGTCGACTACTTAAGTACTGTGGCTGGAAGGAGGGGCAGCACTTGAGAACAAACAAACATGGATGAAGGTGGTGACCAGTTGACTGGAACCCGGAGCGACCTGCAGCGCCATGAGGTCAGTATTCTGAGTACTTACTTAAGTAAGTATCTACCAGCTACTTAAAGTTAGAGGTGAATCCTGAGTAATGTGGTTGAGGCTGGCCCCGTTTGCCCTGTCAAGCTTGCCCTCGAGGTGCCAGGCAAGTGTTTGCCAGTTTTACTTGCCGGCTCCAAGGTCTGACTGTGCAACGCCTTTTGTCAACTTTGGCTGCTTCTGCAAACAATGTTTTTTCTTCCCATATTAAAGGTCAGCTCTTCGTGTTTACTCAGAGTGGCATGATTAATTCTAGGGATGTGGTTTTGTCGCGAAAAGATGTGCTGATAGGGTCTAGGCGTGGTTGCTGACTTAGGGGAAAGCCGCAGCGTTTCAAAACCAGTTTTTAGGTATTTACAAATAAGATATTTGTAAATAATAATATAATGTATAGTCAACACACCGCGAATATTGCAAGTGCCTTGGAGGAGGCGAGGAAGTGTCCGTAGGTGCGCCCCTCAGAGAAGCTCTTTACGAAGTTGCCGCAATATGAGGGTGACCTTCGATCCTAGCAGCCGCGTCCCCTGAGCTCTGGCTCATACCTACTTAAGTCCTTATCGTAAGAATTCAAGCCTCATCAGTCCTCGGTTACTCTGATAAGCACCTACGGGCGGTATCTTGAAATACTGAACATAGGGCTATTCGCATCACATCCCAACTTCTTGGTCCATTTTGGGACCCCAATCTGCATAGGTCGTACGCCTGGTGCACGCACGCATAACTCTAGTATCCTATACCAGATTGTTATACCACACCCATACTGCGCTCTTCTTTTAAAAAAAAAAGAATGAAATCAAACAGCAGATAGCAAACGAATGTCTTTGGCAAGGCTCTGTCGGCAGAGAACAAGAGGAGGGAGTGACTGGTCAGCACGTGATGCTATGTAGGGGCCAGCACGTGACCAACACGGAGCTGTCGTGTTTCTCTGGCGCCTGATCGCGGCAATCTGAATCCACTCACTATCCGCATTGCCCTGAAGCTCGTCATCGCCACTTCAATCAACGGTATTCATCATCATCCAGCTGTGCTACCCATTTAACAAGCTGAAATAGTTATTGAGCTCCCAGACCGTCGATTTAGAAGCTCTACGAGCCTGGTCCGCCAACATGGTAAGCTCAGAATGGTATCGTCTCTTTCCTACCGTTGCTGACGATTGATTGAAAAGGGTCAAGGACAATCTGGCATGGGAGGCGGCGACGGCCGTGAGGACAAGGATAAGAAGGCAAGTTGTATGCGCGACCTGTGTATAGTTCTATTTTTAACAAACTTTTTTGCAGAAGGATAAGCCCAAGTACGAGCCTCCCCCGAGGCCTACGACTCGAGTTGGTCGCAAGAAGAGAAAGGCCGGTGGCACCAGCGCTGCTGCCAAGCTGCCGGCTATCTACCCTACCAGCAGATGCAAGCTCCGCCTGCTGCGAATGCAAAGAATCCATGACCACCTCCTTTTGGAGGAGGAGTACGTCGAAAACCAGGAGCGCCTGCGAAAGGCCAAGGCTGCCAAGGAGGGCGCTGCCGTTGGACCAGACGCCGACGTGGACAGACTAGCCGACGAGCGCGGACGAGTAGACGATATGCGAGGAAGCCCGATGGGCGTCGGAACTCTGGAAGAGCTCATTGATGATGACCATGCGATCGTTAGTAGCACTACCGGTCCTGAGTATTATGTCAGCATCATGAGCTTCGTCGACAAGGATCTTCTCGAGCCCGGCGCGAGTGTTTTGCTGCATCATAAGAGCGTGAGTATCGTTGGTGTTCTCACAGATGATACCGATCCTATTGTCAGCGTCATGAAGCTCGACAAGGCTCCGACGGAATCGTACGCAGACATTGGCGGTTTGGAATCGCAAATCCAGGAAGTCAGAGAATCGGTCGAGTTGCCATTGCTCCATCCCGAGCTGTACGAAGAGATGGGGATCAAGCCGCCAAAGGGTGTCATTCTTTACGGTGCTCCTGGAACGGGCAAGACTTTGCTTGCCAAGGCTGTCGCCAACCAAACATCTGCCACCTTTCTCCGCATCGTTGGCAGTGAGCTGATCCAGAAGTACTTGGGTGATGGTCCTCGCTTGGTCCGACAGCTCTTCCAAGTATGTCCCCCCGGATGACTGATGTTTCTTTCTTTTTTTTCCCTCTTGGTTCGTGAGCTAACACAGCAACAGGTTGCGGGTGAGAATGCACCTTCAATTGTTTTCATTGATGAAATTGACGCCATTGGTACGAAGCGTTATGACTCCACCTCTGGAGGCGAACGAGAAGTGCAGCGAACCATGCTGGAACTTCTCAACCAGCTAGATGGTTTCGATGACCGCGGCGATGTCAAGGTTATCATGGCCACCAACAAGATCGACACGTTAGATCCCGCCCTGATTCGACCCGGACGTATTGACCGGAAGATTTTGTTTGAGAACCCCGACCAAAACACCAAGAGAAAGATCTTCACGCTGCACACATCCAAGATGAATTTGAACGATGATGTCGATCTGGAAGAGTTTATCTCGCAGAAGGACGATCTTTCCGGAGCGGATATCAAGGCAATTTGCTCGGAAGCCGGCATGATGGCTCTACGGGAGCGACGCATGCGCGTACAAATGGCGGATTTCCGTTCTGCTAGGGAGCGTGTGCTGCGTACCAAGCAGGAGGGCGAGCCCGAGGGTCTGTATTTGTAATGTACTATTGTGTATAGGATGGGGAGTTTCCATAGTGGAGGAAGACAATAGAGCCCGGCGGCGTGTTTTGGTGCTGCATTGTGCGTCAAACGATGGTGGATGATTTTTAACCAGTGTTGGTCTAGTGATGTGTTCTAACCGTCGGTGCCTTTTGCATTGATAGAATATTTGATTACTGGTGACGGTTTCCCAACAAAGCGCCATGTGCTCTCAAAGAGACTCGATATGCATCGAGGGTGTCTCCATGCCCAACCTCAAACCAACCAAGCCAAAGGGTATATAATACAATCATCATGCGCTCCAATCCCCCATTGCCGAGTCGTAGACAGTCAAAGGGTTTCGCGTCCCAGTCACTCACTGCTCCGCCTTGACATGCTCTACGCTTCCACTGAACCCATCCTCGTCCTTGACAACGGCCACCTGCTTCCCGCCGGTATCAACCCGCGCCTCGCCGCTCGTCCTCAGCGACGCCCGCTGGTAGAGCCACCTCGCGACAAGGAAACTGCCCGCCGACCAGGCCCATACCAGCACGGCGACGGACGACGTCACCAGCAGAGTGGGGATGAGGACGAGGAGCGCGATGCCGATCCAGAACAGGGCGAAGATGATGGCGGCGCCGAGGCCGAACACGACGGTGCAGAGGGAGAAGGTGGCGAACAGCAGCAGCGGGAAGAAGCACAGCAGAGCTTGTGCGGCGAGAAAAGACTGGCGGCGATGGTTAGCTCCCTCGCAGGCTTTTTTTCTTCTTTTTGGTCGCGAGTTGGTCATCGCCCGGCGGCGTTGGCGGTACTCACGAAGAGGACGGGTCGCGCAGAGGCGAATGCCGACGTGGTCTCGTATGCGCGCTGGCGCGAGGGCGGCGGAGCTGCCCAGTCCAGGCAGCGCTGGAGGTAGGAAGAGGCGCCTATGGCTTGTTTTTGCACGGCGGCCGGGATGCTCCCGTTGTTGTTGGGGGCGCTGGTGGTTTCTACTGCGGCGGGCATGATGATAGCAAGTCGGGTGACGACGATGTGTAGAGTTGTGATGGATTCGGTGGCAATGGGCGTTGTCGTTGTAGTGGCGGGCTAATTGCTTGGGTCCAATGTGTTTGTGATGGATTCGGTGGTGGGAGGTGGGAGGGTTGTGTAAGTATGCATGGGATAAGATGGCGACGCGGTGGTGTTGATGTAAGCTCAATGGAAGGTGCTGCCTGTCAAGTGAGAGCTTCGCCTCGCACATGCACGCATTCACGGATTGTGGTTGGAGCTCATCACCCCGCAAGGGGGTGTGATGACGCAAGAAATGGACGGAGCTGTTTGTGGGATGAGATACAAAGTACTCCGGAAAATAAAATACCTACCTAGGTACTTAAACTTGGGCAATTTGCTATGCATGGCGAGGGTTGGGTAAGTGCTTGTCTGGATGTCATGATGGGTTTGGGCTCAGCATACTAAATGATGGTGACAACTCAAACTTCTACATGCTTGAAGCGCCATCAGAGCAAGTTTGCCACATTTTACTCTTGCTGAACCAAAGACTAATAAGTGCACATGTACTTTTATTACTGTACCATCTCACTGGTAGAGATTGATAACAGACACAGAGTTGGACCCGCGGAGCTACTGCGGCAACTCAACGCCTCCGTTCCTCATACGCACTGCGCAGTCTCGACTTCACATTCTGCCCAGCGATTCCATCACCTACATAGCATATTCGCCAATTTACAAGAACCGATGACAATCGGGAAATGCGCTCCATTGGGATGATGCTAACAGCTCACAAGGTCTTCAGAGACTACCCTCAATACTGGCTGGCAATATCCGCAATAAGCGTCCCCCACGATCCGCTGAACCCATCTTTTCCTCCACGTCCAAACTGGTTGCCGTTCGGCAGCCTCATAGCCTCCGCGACATTGGGCCCAGTGGTAAACCCATGCAAATGCCCATTGCTCACCGGGCTCTGAATATAGTTCATCAAACCCTGATTCAGGCCCGTCAACGACTCAAAGTTCCAACTGCCAGCCGCGTAGTGATAGATGGCACTGTTGCTACCAAGGTAGTACTGCGCAAGGCCCATCCGGCACACGTTATCGCTGCTGCTGCACCATGAGAAATTGGGGTCCGAAGCAATGGCGTTGAAGGGCTGTCCTGGCAGCGGGGCGCCGTGGTTGCCCTGGAAGTAGTTGGTCTCGCTTTGGAAGAGCGAGATGAAGACGTTGGCGGCATTGTGAAGACCCAGCTGGTACAGCCAGTTGTGCTCCGACCCAAGGCCCGCGATCCATGTTCCCGCTGTGGCTTCAATGAGGACGCCTCCCTTGACCACGGTGTGAATGCCCTTTGCGCTGTTGTCGCTGGGGTGGTCGGCTACCCAGGACCAGAAGTTGTCTATGTAGGCTGATGAGCCGGCCGCAAGGTGCAGGCCAAGGTAGGCGGCGCGGCACTTGGCTTCGTCGCTGCAGCTGAGCGTGGTGTCGCGGGTGCCGCCAATGGTGATGAGGGAGTTGAAGACGGCCACGTCGCCGGGGTTATCGCCCGCCATGTTGATTCGCAGGAGAATGGCCCCGGGGAGGGCCTCGTTGACGGTGAAGCGAATGTCTTGGATGCGTGCCGTGCCCTTTTGACCTGGCGAGCTGCCGACTTGGACGACTGGCGTAGGGCTCGACTCGGATGAGAAGGCGCTGCCCGATCCCGAGATGGTGGACCAAGCCTCTCCGTATAGCTCAGTGCCAGGGGGGATGGTAATGGTCGAGGTGACTCTGTAGATGCCAAAGGGCAGGTACGCAATCTTACCCCCGCTGGCTGCCGTGTTGAGAGCACCTTGTAGCGCCGCCGTATCATCAACTGAACCGTCTCCGTGTAGGTTGAAGCCTCCATTCTGCCTCGCGTCCTTCAGGTTCACAACATCGGAGACCGTCTTTCCAGAGTACTGTGGCGCATTGATGACAGGATACTTGCCTCCTGGAGCAAGAGCCGCCGGTCTAGAGACTGGTTTCGATGTGGGATCAGATTGGTATATTGGGTTGGAGTCTCGAGTATTTCCGTAAATATACGTCCCCAAGCTCGACACGCCGCCGACCTTGACGCTGCCACCCACTGTGACCATGTTGGAGTTGGTGGTGTCTTTGGAGATGTTCTCGAGCATGAAGTTGGGAGAGCCGACTCGGCTGGTGAAGAAGTCGCCCGAGTTAATGCTCTGCCCGTCGATGACGGCGACCCAGGGGTTGCCCTCGTTGAGGACTATGCAGTTGCCGACGGTGTTGCAGACGGGAGCGAAGATGCTGATGGTGAAGCCGCTGTCGATCAGGATACCCGTCGTGCACTTGTTAAATGTCATGTCCTTGACTTGTCCTTGCTGATGGCCTAACAATATTGCGTTAGAGGGCACAAGTTAAAGAATATGGACAACTATGCCACATTATGTAGGAAAGCAATCATCGCCAGGCTTACCGCTCCAATGCAAACCAACGTTGCCAAAGTTGAATTGCACATCAGAAACTGAGATTGTCGAGCCACCACCCATCACGATGCCTATGGGAGAGTCTGCATTAGGAGATGGCCGCTTTGTAAAATGCTGGGGAGTTTAGAGGTCCATTTACCAGTATGAGCACCTTGAGGCATGTTGATTTTCACATTCACCTAGACACCAAAGTTAGCCGACAAAACCGCTCACTATTACAGCCATTCTCGTGTAAACACACCAGTGCGCAGTTCTGAGCAATAGCCCAGCTCAAGGCTGTGAAATTGCCACTGCCCGAGTTCGCTGTAGTGTCCAGAACAACATTCTTAACTACGAGCTTGTCAGCCATTTGTTCATTGTGCATTGAGAGCGAGGCAGCTCATCTCACTCATAACTGAGAAATGTGTCTCCCCGGCAAATCCGCCGCATGGATGATTCTCGCCATCTCCCTGACCACCAACGATAAGATATTTGCCGTTGAAGACAGTGGCAGCTTTAATAGTAGGTGGGTTCGAGGCGTCGCCGATAATCACGGTGTCTGTGTTTAGAAATAGCGTGGAAGAGAGCGTGTATGTCCCTGTAAAAGCTGGTCAGAACTGGCCCAGCTCCTTTTGACTTGATCTAGACCACCACCACCCGGCCCTCTGGAGATTCTTTACCCGGTGCCAAGTAAATAACTCGGGGTTGTCCGGCAAGCCAGCAGTTATCTCGCTGGCCACCACTAGGTCCATCCGAGGAGATTGCACTAATGAGGCCCTGGGAGTCGCCAGAGTTGACAGCCTTATAAACCGGGTAAGTGTAATTGGGTTGTCCGGCCCCATTGACAAGATTCGGCACATAGGCTCTCACAGGACCCGAGGTATGGTCCAGGTGCGGCAGAAACCATGATGAACCGGCTTGTCTCTCGTCGAGTTGGGCAGAAGGGAGACCTGATGACAAGGAAGGCAACAACAGGGTTGCGAGACCCAATAATGGTGAGAACTTCATATTGCGAAGTACAGCTATGGCCACAACGCGGATGCACAAGCACAATGGTCCATGGTGTTGTTTTCCTTTCCCAAGACCAAGGCGCGGTTTGTTGGTGCTTTTGTAACTGAGTCCGACTAACAGAGTTGCCTCCACAATCCAGCCCACCCCGGCCCCTGAAAACTCAAATCCGTGTTTGTTATTCATGGCATGTTTAAAGGTTAGCGTTTTTGCCCTGTCAAGTGTGCGTCTGACCACGCATAGTGCCGAGTAGCCGGGTCTATTCTGCGCGCAAATCTCATTTTGCTCGTGTTTGAAGGACTGGCAATGCGCCACAGCACCTGTCAATTGAGATCGAGGCGGTTTGTGGAAAAATCGGCTGAGCATGTCCGCACGAATGCCCTTTATTTCATTTGCATCGGGCCGAGCGATGGAGACGTCACCTTCCCCATTGAGTCACTGAGCCATTCGCCCGCGCATCATGAGGTCTGGGGGAAGCAACAGGAGATACTGTGAAGCATGGTCATGGCATCCGAATCTCCTTGTCAGACTGCCTGTATTAGTCGACTAGAGCGCCTCGGACGCAGCTAGTGAGAAGTAGTGACGTGTAGAATCCCGCGATGTTTGGTGGTGGTGGTGACTTAAACTGTTTCTGGGCGTAGATCGGGGAGCCTCGGCAGGGCGTGCTTGCTTATGTACTTCTTGGGTTGCGGAAACGATACTCTCCACCTGATGAGGTCCGAAATACAACGAGGGAGCGTACAAGGAGAAAGCATCGGCGTTCAGGATGACGGTCCGAGCCGTCGCCGGGCTGGAAGTTTCACCCCGTTGATCGCCACATTCTCCTAAGCTTGGTCCATCATACTGGTTTCGACCAGGAAGGCTTCCAGTATTTAAATTAGATATGATTCTTGCTCTACGCATGCTCGGGGCTTGGGTGTTTATACTCGGAGCTAGGAAGCCAGTTAACTCCAAATGCACAGCCGCGAAAGACCCGTATCGCCTCTTACCTCTAGGCTTCACTCACAATGGTGACTGCAGCCTCCTTTGCAGTCTAGCGTTACAGGAGTAGTCCGTTGTGTCTCTCATGTTCTCCGATACATGCGATAGTGAGTGTAAGAGTCGCGGCTCAAAAAGCCAAAATATACCTCCATGGACATTGAGAGAAGGCGAGGTACTCTGTGCAGTGCTGATGCTCTGTTCTGGAGATGATTCTCCACCCGCCTAATGGCAGGTGACAGTTGGTTGGCTGGCTGGTTCGCTCCTGCCTGCTCGCACTCGGGTGCGTTCGTCTTCGGCCTTCGCGTCGTGGCTCGCGGCCACCATCCCGTCCACGCGTCACTCGCCTCCGTCCACTTAAGCCTCTGGAAGTGACAGCCATCTCGAAGGATCAGACACGGCCAGGCATTCATCCGCAACCCAAACAGTGCAAGAGTCAATAAGCTCAGCCACAAGATCCACGAACGCACCGAGGCACTCGAGGCTCCGTGGTGCACGGAGATGATGCCTTTGCAGCATGGAAGTTGGCAGGGGTCGTGGCCGTTTGTCTGGCATGGCATGCGCGTTGCGACGACATCGCGGCTTGGGGCCGAGTGAGCGAGGAAGCTAGACCATGGCAGTCAAGGCAGAAATATAAGATGTTGATGCAGCCGTCGACTGGGAAAGAAGTTTCAAGGAGATGAGAGCAATCACGACAAGAAATAAGCTTAAATCTCGAATTACACCACCTGCACCACCACCAGTCAACGAAACACCACTTTCTACATCGCACGTATCTTCACACCCTTAATACATAGCCAACTACAATCACAATGACTGCCCACAGCATCCATAATTACAATGGCGACAATGCTGCATGCAACGACCGCGCCAGTCAACAACTACAAGAGCAGCAGCAGCAGCCTCCCGCCTACACCCCTTCTCATACTGGTCTCACACCCGGCTCGACCTTTGATGCCAACATGAATGCCCCTGACTACAACACTCCAGCTGGACCTGCTCCTCGAAAGCCCAGCTCCTTTGGCCAGAAGTTCCACTCCATCACCACCAAGGCCGGCTGGCCGTTGAACAAGGCTGCCAATGTCATTGGCGCCGAGGGCTGGTGGCCTACCAGCGTGCAGAAGGAGTGCGGCAAGGCTGCCCGTATTCTTCACTCTTTTACCAGTATGTCGTCTACTTTTGCTGCAAACTCTACCACGGGCAACCTCCTAATTCCCCAATCTGCAGGCCTCGGCGCTCCTCCGCCCCCCAAGGCAGACGGGCCTATGCACCCTACCGGCATCACCAAGAAGTCCATGGTCAAGATTCCCGACGCCGTCTTGAGAACATGTGCCGGTCTCGCCATCTTCAACGTGATCCGTGCCGGCGCTTTCCACGGCTCTCTTGCCGCCGGCTCCGGTGTTGTCGTCGCCCGGCGCCCAGACGGCACCTGGTCGCCCCCTTCATCCTTTGTCGTTTCCACTGTCGGTGCTGGCTTCATGCTCGGCCTCGACATTTACGACTGCGTTTGTGTCCTCAACACCCCAGCCCAGGTCAATGCCTTTACCAACCCGCGCGTATCCCTTGGTGGTGATGCCTCCATCGCCATAGGCCCCATCGGCACCGGTGCCAGTGTCGACGCCGCCCTCTCCAAGACGGTCCGGCCCATGTGGAGCTACATGAAGAGCCGTGGTCTCTGGGCCGGCGTCCAGATCGACGGCACCATCATTGTCAGCCGCGCCGACGCCAACTCCGTCTTCTACAATGAGCGCGGCATCTCGGCCAAGAAGATCCTTTGCGGTGACGTTGCGTGGCCCATGGGTGCAAAGCCCCTCTTTGAAGTTCTCAGGGCAATCGAGGGCCGCCCCGACTTTGACCACACTGTTGTCCGGGAAGTAGGCCGCAAGCCTTCTCCTGGCGACACTGTTCTCGACGAGAGGAGTGAGCCTGCTGCTGTCGAGTACGACCACCATCAACAGCAGCCGGAGCCCGCTCGTGACGAGTCTGTCCTGGATGAGAAGGAGAGACTTAGGAGAGCTGGCTACTAAGATGCAATAAAGAAATGCGCCTTTGTTTGCATATTATCGGAGTAACGAGAACTTGTTTCCCGCTTGGTCTAATTGTTCATTGTGGTTTCTTGTGTTGACAGTGAGATGTTACATGTCGGTAACTGTACGATTTAGTTTGGGAGCCTTGGGTTTTATTTGGTAATTTTCTCAATTAGTTGCAAATGTCACCTGAACTGTTCAACGTTTGTCCCGTCGAGTATCTGTGTGCGTTCACCGCACTACTGTTGCTTGAGAAGGAGGAGCACCCAACTACACGCTCCCAGAATTTCCAACTATTAAATAGCTTCGAGTTGTTTTGTGCATGATTCGTGGTTGGTCAGCATCGCCCAGGATGCAGCAAACCCCGATGAACAGAACATTGGCGAGAAGAGGCGTCCCTCGGTCCATGTATGTTGGACCAGAGGTCAAGCCTCGGAGTGTAATTGGAACAAGACATTGAATTGATTTTTCTTAGTGACTGAGTGCAAATATGTAGTACTCCCTGTCCTGGCCGGTGTGCCTACAAAGATCTGTATTTGCGTTTGAGGATATATAATTTGCATTCTGGCCGTCATGGCTGAGGGCGCCAGGCATGCGTGCCAACGTGCGAGACTTGATTGAGTGGCTCGCAAAACATCTCGTGACCAGAAGGCGACATCAAAAGCGCCGGCTACCTGATGGACTGCGTTGTTGCAGACGAATTTAAACACCAAGAGCTCCTGTTGACTGCGTTGAATCCCAGGAGGTGCATGTGTCTGGGCCAGCTGGCAGAGTGATACATGAGTCTCCAGGCCACTACGATATGCATAGCCGCCGCATTCTCGCCCCAATGATTTACGATTCTTACGGGTTGGCTTGGATTCATCGCACTTGACACGGCGCGTGCTGCAAAGACGTCGACGTAGGCAGTCAGTATCACGTATGTAGGTGTTGGCGTCGTGATGGAGAACACACCGGCAAGTAAGGCATCTAGTCTTTACCATTGCCGCCCATCTTCTTATTCTTGTCTTCTTTGGCATAAATAACCATCTTTGCAATCTCGTGCCACTTACACTAATGCTATCCCTAGCATTCATTATCAAGAGAAATGGGATCATTACAGCCTGCACCTAGAGGTCGGGACTCGGGAGTATCATATTTGCGGCTACTGCCAAATTAACGCAATAGAGAAACCGGAATGGTTTTCATTTTAAATGCGCTTCTGCGGCAAGTCATTCTCCCTGTCTTGCCTTCTGAAGTCTAGCACTCTCCCCAGAGAAGCGCAGAGTTTCAAGGATATCTCGCGTTTCTGGAGTCTGGCGCGGATGAGTTCGAAGATGGAGATGTAGAAATTTCACGCATAATACGGAGTGCCGATGACAATGATACCCAATCCATCACGACTGGCAAGTGCTTTCATTGGGCAGTGAAGCCATTTGAGGCAGTCGGTGAGGTCTTGGGAAGAAAAGAATAGAGAACATGACGAAATAGCTGGAGCTAATTTCGGACCTACGATACAAATTTGTAGACTTTTTGGCATGGTTCAGGATGAAGAGTGTCAATTGATCCGCCTCATTCAAAGTTTGGAAGCGCTGCACGGTGGTAGCAGTTGACGTGTTATTTGGCAAACCCACCATCTGGTGGTAAAGCGGGCAGTTGTATTATTGCTCATGGAATCCTTGTTAAATTCTACGTATTATTTTAGCAGAGGATATTATAGCCTGTGCTTCCTTAACAGGGTTCTGAGAATCATGACCAAAGTCAACGGTCGCAGAGTGCGTACAACTATAATTATACCGATGGCTGCTTCGCGAGGGAGTATATAAATTGACTTGATGAAGCCTTATGTAGTACCAGACACTTTTCGTCGTCTAAATTCGGCAACGCTTGAATGGCGCCAGCCACAGCCACCGAAATAGATTTTTGTGCGTGGGCATATCGGCGCCATTTGCCTGGTCCAAGCTAACTGTTGTAAACTGTGCCAAGGCCACATGCACGTCTTCAGCGTTGAGGAGTGAATCGTCAGCCCAACACCACTGTACAAGGGAGGACGCCTTGGTGCGATACCGAGAAGCAAACTGGTGGCGCCTCCCCAGCCCAAACGGAGATTGAATTGAGGGCGACGCGGCTCATGGCTCGGCAAGGCAAATCAGACACGAGAACATTGAAGTTGGTGCCTTGGTGTGACGACATGAGTGCAGGTCCTGTGATGGCAGGGCTGAGGTCGTGACTGTGAGACAACAGCTGCAGGGACTAGCGGTGCGACCTTTTGGCACACATGGTCAAGTTCGGTAGCATCCAGGGCCATGCGGCTCAAGGAGGTTGCTGGTGCATACGTAGGCCAAGGAACTGCCGGGCTGTATCTACCGTGAGCAGGTGATCTGGTGTGTGCCGTGGACGTCGAGAAGATGGCACAACATTGAAGGTCTTTGGCTGTGCTGCAGCCCTGAGCCTGCGTTGCCTGCCTGGACCTGCCTCTTATGTAGGGTGGCTGGCACATATGTAAGTAGATGGCCAACATTGAATATTTCAAATTTAAAACTTGCACGCTCCGCCGGCCGGCAGTGTCGAGACTGGAGCCATCAATTAGTAAAGCTCGGCGTCCCAAGCTGTCAATCAGGGTGCACGTGGCAAGTGAGGCGCGGAGATGGTGCCGTCTGGTCGATTGACGGGACGAGACGAGACGCGAAGCACCGAGAAGGAGCGGCGCTTTGGCCATATGACTCTGAATGCCGCCGACCAAGAGTCGATTCAATCTTCCCAACCACCACGGTTAATTTTGGACGCCTGGCAGGAAACGAAGCGAGTGAGGCGCTGGCCGATGTTCGTCGTCACGGCGCCACGGCGGCATGGCGTCATGGCCTTCGTCCCTGTGCATCTCCGCGAGACGCTGGAATGCCCGGCCCGGTGCGAGGCTGGACGTGATTCTCGTCTGGACTCTAGAGGCTTCCCGTTGCACCAGACAGAGCTTGTGGCCCTGCGGTGACCTCGCCGCGACCCATTTGCCAGATCAAGTGGCCCGTCTCGATGTTGCCTCGAGCCAGCTCGGTGGTGCGCGCGTGCATTCTTTGTTCTGCGTGTGTCGCCTTCAACTGCCGCTGACTCCATGATCCCAATTATACCCATTGTCCATGCGGCTGCCCCCCTTGCATATTTGAAGGGACCCTTGTCCGCCTCTGCATGGGAATATCACACCAGACACGAACTTCTAAAAACATCAAAAAACTACTCCATACCTCCTTGACAGCCTCGTCGAGCCAGCGGCCCCCAATCAACAACTGCTTGCTATCCTCATATATTGGCGCCGCACACAGACCAGCCACACAAAGAGGATACCCACTCCTCCATCCCGCCCATCTCACCATCTCGCCCATCTCGCACTCCTGCACCTGCATGCGCCCCGCGCGTGCGAACCCATAGTTTCCCGGGCCATCAATCTTGATCGTTGCTCCCCCCCTCCTTCTCGGCTTGCCGCACGCCGCCCGGGCGCTTCCCGCCAGTCGCCTGCGCCACCGCTGACCTCAGGTCCTTGACGCTGCAGCCAGTTCTGCAGTTGCGGGTTGCCAAGTTGCCAAGCGCTGAGTGCCGGCCCGCGTTGTGCAGACACACAAAGCCGCTGCAGCAACTACCTAGGTAACTTACCAACCTGGGCACGGTCTTGGTCTCGATTGGCCTCTCCACAAACGTCTTCCAACGGCCGGCTTCTAAACTTGTGATTCCTTGCCCGCGAAGCAGGCTGAGCACTACATCGACTTGCGCAGGCCATCTGGACATTGCGCTCGAGTGCTGCATCGCACCTGCCCTTTTCCCAGTACAACAGCCACCAGGCATTGCGCACCCTGGCAATATTGGACGCTTCAGTACCTCTTCAGTACCTGCTCCAGTAGCTAAGCTGTCCAAGGTACTTCCCTGTACTCATCAGCCCAGGTGCTGACACAAGTACCGGGATACTCGCGTCCTGAGCAGGCAGTCAACACCTGTCCGAAGGCTCAACAGCTGCCGGCTTGGAGGCCCCGAGACCACTTAAACAGTGAACCCCAGTCTCGCATTTCAGCTCTCCTCCCTTTGTTCTTACCTTTTCTCACAAATAAGACGCAACGACTTGTCACGCAACTGTACGTTTCTGACCTCTTCCTTTTCTCCATCTTCTCCCTCTCTCGATACCGGCGCAGCTTTCTTTCACATGCATCACCTCCCCTGACATGGCTACTCAAGTCGGACCAGACAGCTCACCCACTCATCTGTAGACATCTCTGAGGAACGTCCAGGCCAAGTCGACTAGTTGACTCCGGCTGGCCGGCTGTCAATTTTTAACGACTGTGCCAAAAGTCGAGGCCTCACACAAGTGCGAGCTCTTGATTTGGTACGTCTTCTGTTTTTTCCTTTCAACACCGGTCAAGTCTCACCAAACCAGTTGGCCCCCCAGGTCAGTTCCCCTTCTTTTGAGCGCCACCCAGCAAACCTCTGTTGGTAGGTCTGGTCTGGTGTGTTTCCCTTCAGTGTTCTCTCCAGCCTCTGGCAACATGCATATACACCTATATGCACCTATAAACACCTATGTCTACCTATATACACCCACATGCACATATATACATCCACATACACCCATATCCACGCATATACTGCACGACATGGTGTGCGTGCCGCGTACACTTCGCATGCTAACATGCTCTGATTCTCAGGACCGAGTTGTATGGACCAATACTTTCTCTCCCCCAAAGCAGTACTCAGGAAGCGCAAGTTGAGCACGCGACAGCTGCCGAATCTGCCAGAATATGCAGCTAATTTACGCAGAAAGAGACCACTTAACCATACCCTTGCCAACAGCCAAGAGATGAGTGTGATTTACATACGCTCCTCGCGGCCACATGACCTGGAAGCCGAGGGCCAAGCCAACGCCGTCAAGAAGCGCAAATGGAGAGTCTCGATTCGTGTCAACAATAATGCCCCGACCTCGGCAGATATTGAGGACCCGTTTCTCCAAGTTGACTACAAGGGAGTCTTTGAGCAGTATTTGCGAAGCTCCGACAGGCCCCGCTGGAGCTCCCAGAATCCGATCCCCGAAGAGGAGGATGCAATAGAGCTGGCAGAGAAGCGAATTGAAGAGTACGGCAGGCTACTGTTCGACCAGCTGGATAACCAGACAGGTCTCTTCAACTCCGGCGAGTCTGAAGCTCAAATCTATGTGGTTGAGCATCACGAGAACCGCGCCGTGGGCAACGGCGGCATTCATTGCCTAGCGTGGGAGCTACTAGAGTCCGTAGAGATTGCACGGCTACCCAAATTGCGCTTGCGCGTGACGCGGGTCAGTGACTTCCCGGCTCCTCGATTCCTTGAACCGCCACGACCAGACGGCCCGCGGCTAGCAGCAATTCAAGCAGACCGCAACGCCACCTTCAACATTTTGCTGGTTATTGCCCGCGACTTTTCCCGCACCGGCGCCGAACGAGATCCGGAGCCAGACCTGGCACAATGGCCACTCATGAATATTCAAAAGAAGCTCCGAAGCCGTCTTACCCTCGAAATTGTGCGGCCGGGTAGCCTCGAAGAACTAGACCGTCATTTGGACATACGAGCCAAGCAAAATGTCGACTTTAATTTGGTTCACTTTGACCTCCACGGGCGAATTATGCGTAATGAGTGAGTAGCCATGCCCCCTCTCTTCCAATTTGATTACCTTGAATCTAGTTGCTAACCGGCATGGCTTAGGTCCGGCGTACCGGTTCCCTGGTTGTTGTTCGCAAGGCAGCATAGGCCCAGTGCTTCAGAGTATTCCTTCCCTCAGACGCAACTTGCCAAAGCTGAAGCCGTTGCCGAGGTTCTTTCTCGGCATCGGGTCGAAAATGTTGTGCTCAATGCATGTCTATCGGCATACAACCGGTCTGGTGCCGCAACCAACTTGGCACACATATTCCTCCGACATGGCATTTCAAACGTCTCGGCCATGTGGTATTATGTTCACTGGAAGACAGTTAAAACCTACGTGGAAGCCTTTTACGACAAGTTACTCATTGAGTGCCTCGACTTTCACGTGGCGGCCCAGCGAGCGAGGGAGTCTCTGCGGCGGCAGCCCACTAGTCTCGCTGAACGGACATTCCAAGATTTCTTCCTTTGTGTCAATTACGCGCGCGACGTGCATAGGACCGACAGCATGCTGCGCGAAGTCAGCCCGTCGCCTTCGGCCAAGTCGCACGAGTTGACAATAACCTTGTCCAATACCTCGACGAGGAGCTCCCGAAGCGGGATTCGGATAAAATCACCATCAAGGTTCGCAGATAGCTTTGGCTTTGACGATGAGCCAATCTTGCGACTTCGGTTGCACCTTTTGGAGCTCGAGTACAAGCTCATGACATTCAGAATCATATATGCTAGTGATTTAGACCAGGCCGGCTCCGACCTGAATGGGACGCTGGGTAAGATGGTCAATATGTGGCTCAACACCAATCTCATTGATGAGGTGCATTACTACAAGGCAAAAGACTTTAGCAAGCGCAATCTCATTTCTGGGGCTGTCTCGGTGTCTCCGCGTACCAAGCACACTCGATTGAGTCACGGTGGTCCACTACAGCGCCTGTTTCCGCGTACTGTAGATTCGCTGCGCCAGACGTTGCATATTGTCAAGGAGGTTGACAGCGTGGTGGATCCGGGGATGCAAGCTGACAAGCTAGAAAACCAGCGACGAGAAGAGCGGCGGTTTCTAGCTCAGGAGGGTTTACAACAGTTTGCCAGTAAACTGCATGAGGAGGGCTGTAGTTATATGATTTTTGTAGGAAGTCAAAATGCCCAATGGTGGCGAACATATCTCCAAGCTCTTAACGGCGAGTGGTGGCTAAATATGCCGTGGAGCTTTGCTGTACATACACGATTTACTAAGGAGATGTAGCAATCCCCTCAATGTAATTTCAGCTTTAATGTATAAAAATATATAAGAATTATTACATCAATATTATTTAATAATTTTAGCCTGTTTAATTTTTTAGAAGCTAATTTAATAGCTTTTTTGTGATTATATTTAAGCTTTATATTTGCTCTTGAATGCTATGACGAGATGGCTTTTACTAGTAGGCCGCGAGTTTTACGCCTAGTATTTTATCTACCGACCTACTTGATTATCTACCTAGTAGGTAGGTGGTAGGTGAGTTGAGATCCAATCGAGTTTAATATTAAGGACAGTACATATGTACATAGACCAGACGTAATAGGCCAAAGTCGACGTTCATTCTGTGGCTCGCCATTCCCGCTGTGGCGGAAAGTCTATTTTTCGACCGACCGACGGAACACTGAACAGCTTCCGGGCCCAGGCCCAACTGATGGAGCGCAGCCAATTGTGAAGCTCGCTATCCGAATACGACGCGGCGGGGTTGACAGTTTGACAGCTCCGACAAGGCACAGCAAACGACGTCGATCATCCTTCCTCCCCGTCGGTTGCCTCTCACTAAATTGCATCCTGCTGCTGCGGCCACGATTGCCGGCGAAGACGTTGGCATTTTTTTTTTTTTTTTACCTCGGCACGTCGTCATGTCGCAGGATCGCTTCTGCCAGGCAAGTCCGGTTGTTCATATTGCTCGCAGTAAGCAGCGTGCCAAGGCGGACGACACACGGCGTGGGGCGTTCCCGAAGCTGTTCTCCTGGGCGGCAAAGTAAGCTTGCTGACGTAGCGCCTTTGTCCTGACTCCTGGTACATTAGCTGGCCACTTCCGCCCAGGGCTGTTATTTTTTTTCATTTTGTTTTTATTTTGCGTCTGCTTTTCAATAGCAAATTGCTGCCTTTTTCTGCATTCTCCTCATCGTGGAGTGGTTTGCGGATTCGTCTTGGATTGTTGCGCCGAGCGGGCTTCCTTCTTTGAGTAGCCTGGAGGCATTTTGTCTTCCTCTTGAGCGGCGTACAGGTTTGCCGTTGAGCAGAGGACGAGTCGCGCAGGGACCTTGGTATCAGGGTCTACCTGCAGATTCTCGGGACGCCCAAGGTCGGTCGAAAGCAGGGAGCTAGGGCTGGTATCGTGAGGGAAGAAGAAAGAAGGAAAACACCATGGGCTTATCCGCGGACGTCATGGCCAATGGCCACGAGCACGAGCACATCCTGCGGCCGCGAGCGCGAAAGGGCATCCGTACGCAAGCTACGCGGACCCTGTCCGGCGGGAGCGACGGCCAACTCGGGGGGGTGGGCGAGAGCGCGCCAGCAAGCGGGTTGACGAGGTGAGTCGTAAAACACCATGAGCAGATTTCGATGCCGCAAGTACTGACTGACCCGACGACGACAGCGGCCAGTCCACGCCCGTGCCGGAGAACGCGCCCCCGTCGGCTGTGTCGCTCTCTTGCGCACGCAAGCTCGCACGCGCCGAGCAGAAGCGCCGCCTCTTCCCGACCATCGAGTACGCCTCACGCGTGTCGCACTTTGACCCGGAGAGCGACTACCGCGACTTCCACGGCTTCTTCAACCTGTTCTGGATCGGGCTGGCCATCATGGGCATTACCACGATGCTGCGCAACATGCGGGACACGGGCTACCCCCTGCGCATCCAGATCTGGAGCCTGTTCACCGTCAAGCTGTGGCACCTGGCCATCGCCGACTTCCTCATGGTGGCCACGTCGCTCGCGGGCCTGCCGCTGCACGCCGTCTTCAGGAGAGCCCCGGCCGGCGCCGTGCTGACCTGGGAAAGGGGCGGCATGGCCATCCAGAGCATCTACCAGGTGCTGTGGCTGGCGCTCTGGATCGCCGTGCCCTTTGTGCTCGAGTGGACGTGGACCGCCCACGTCTTCCTGCTGCTGCACACCATGGTGATGCTCATGAAGATGCACTCGTACGCCTTCTACAACGGCCACCTGTCCGAGACGGAGAAGCGCCTGCGCTCGCTCGACGCCCCCGGCGACGAGGCCGACACGAGCCCGGCCTACGTCTATCCCACCGCCAACCTCCGCCGCGGCAGCATCTCGGGCATCCCCTCGTCGCAGAACGACAAGCCATTATCACTCCCCGAACTCACCAAGCAGCAGCAGCAGCAGCATCTCCATCACCCGTCATCGTCGTCGTCGTCGTCACCATCCGCCGCCGCCCGCCTCGACATTCAAACCCTCCGCGAGGCCCTCGCCCGCGAACTCACCTCCCCCATGGGCAACACCACGTACCCGCGCAACCTCACCTGGGCCAACTACATCGACTACCTCTTCTGCCCAACCCTCTGCTACGAGCTCGAGTACCCGCGCACCCCGCGCATCAACTGGACCTCGCTCGTCGCCAAGACCGTCGCCACCTTTGGCTGCATCTTCCTCCTCACCGTCACCTCGGAGGAGTTCATCCTGCCCGTGCTCGTCGACGCCCAGCGCCGCCTCACCTCGTCGCCCGTCTCCGCCCCCGAGGCCCTCCTCATCCTCGCCGAGTCCATCTCGTGGCTCCTCTTCCCCTTCATGCTCACCTTCCTGCTCGTCTTCCTCGTCATCTTCGAGTACGTCCTCGGCGCCTTTGCCGAAATCACCCGCTTCGCCGACCGCCACTTCTACGCCGACTGGTGGAACTCGACCGACTGGCTGGAGTTCTCGCGCGAGTGGAACGTGCCCGTCTACTCCTTCCTGCGCCGCCACGTCTACAGCGCCTCGCGCCCGCACACGGGCAAGCTCGTCGCCACCCTCATCACCTTCCTCATCTCCGCCGCCATGCACGAGGTCGTCATGGCCTGCATCACCAAGAAGATTCGCGGCTACGGCTTCATCTGCCAGATGATGCAGCTGCCCATTGTCATGCTGCAGCGCACGAGGTGTATCCGGGGCAGGAAGACGCTGAACAATGTCTGCTTTTGGTGCTCCATGATTCTGGGCCTCAGCCTGGTACGTTTTCCCCCTCCCTCTCTCTCTCTCTCTCTCTCTCTCTCTCTGTAGAGTAATATATGCTTTCCCACGGCTAACCGGAATCAGATATGTGCGCTTTACGTGCTTGTATAGCTTTGTTTATATTTCCCACAAATTAGCCGCCTCGTCGACTGTGGCCTCAGCTGTCTGTCACAAACAGTCATGCGTGCCATCTGTTTTTTTTTTTTCCAATTTATTTTTAGCCACCACTCAACAAGATACCCTTTCATTTTCGTTGCCGTCATTACGTCAGGTCAAGCGTCACCCAGCCTCGTCAATATGTTGTCCTCCTAGTGTCGCAGAGAGCTAACATCAGGTGAATGAAAAGCGGGGCTACCATCAGCCAAAGTGCTGCACCTGTCCATCATGATCCGCAATTCTGCATCCTCCATCGCACGCGACGACTGCAATCACTAATCACCTTACTATCAGAGGAAAGCACCAGTTTACAAAGTAGCGCATCTCGAGCCTTGGAAGCCCTTGCATCGAGAATTTGTAGTTTTTCTGCCGTGCTTGTACGTGCCGCATTCTTTCATCCATCCGGAGAGAGGCACGGGCTACGGTCTTGATATACCGTCTACGTAGTAACGAAAATACATCAGTCACATCTTCACAAGTCAACCAGGAGAAGCATTGTTGTTTATGCCATTTCATTCATCCGTCTACCTCATAATCATAGCTAGCTGGTAAAGTACACCCTGCTCCATCCCAAATGGGAGGACCGCCCGGGAATTATGGCCAAGCGAAGCATCAATTTCCGCACGCAGAGAAATAAGAAATTCAAAAACCATGTGCACGTTCCAGAGTCCGTTTGCTCTAAAACACCGTCCAACTCCGTGAAAACTTTTCTAACTTCTGTGCGAGTGTACATTGAGAGAGGCATTTAGTCAACCTCCTCCATGGCGCTGTCACCAGTCTCGGCGGCAGGGGCAGCATCGGCGGGAGCCTCAGCAGGGGCAGAGTCGTCCTCCTCGATGTTGAGGCCGAGCTGGACGAGCTTGTGAATGCGCTCAGCGAAGCCAGCAGGCTCCTCGATTGTGAAGCCAGACACGAGCAGGGAGGTCTCGAACAGAAGCTGGACGATGGACTTGACGGTACGGTCGTTCTCACCGTCAGTTTCAACCTTCTTCTTGAGCTCCTGGATGATGGGAGACTTGGGGGAGATCTCAAAGGTCTTCTTGGAGGACATGTAGCTGGACATGGAGGTGTCACGGAGGGCCTGGGCCTTCATAATACGCTCCATGTTGGCAGACCAACCAAACTGGCCGGTTCGGATGGCGCATGGGGAGAGGCCGAGTTTGTGGCTGACAACAACCTTCTCGACCTTCTCGCCGAGAACGTTCTTGAGGCTCTTGGCCAGGCTCTCATACTCCTTTTCCTCCTCCTCGCGAGCCTTCTTCTCCTCGTCAGTCTCCTCGAGTTCGAAGTCCTTGGTGATATCAACAAGCTTCTTCTCCTCAAACTCCTTGAGTTGAGTCATTGCGTACTCATCAATGGGGTCGACGAGGAAGAGAACTTCGAAGCCCTTCTCCTTGAGGGTGTCAAGGAAGGGAGACTTGGAGACAGCCTTGATGGACTCGCCAGTGATGTAGTACATATTCTTCTGGTGCTCAGGCATGCGGGTAACGTAGTCGGACAGAGACGTCAGTTCGTCACCAGACTTGGTTGAGTTGAAGCGCAGAAGCTTGGCAAGCTGCTGGCGGTTCTGAGAGTCCTCGTGGATACCGAGCTTCAAGTTCTTAGAGAAAGCACTGTAGAACTTGTCGAACTGCTCCTTGTCCTCGGCAATCTCCTGGAAGAGCTCAAGAGACTTCTTGACAATGTTCTTCTTGATGACCTTCATGATCTTGTTCTGCTGAAGGGTCTCACGAGACAAGTTGAGGGGAAGGTCCTCAGAGTCGACTACACCCTTGACGAAGCTGAGCCACTCAGGGATGAGCTCAGTAGCGTCGTCAGTGATGAAGACACGGCGGACATAGAGCTTGATATTGTTCTTAGTCTTCTTGGTCTCAAAGAGATCAAAGGGAGCACGCTTAGGGACGAAGAGGATGGCACGGAATTCGAGCTGACCCTCGACGGAGAAGTGCTTGACGGCAAGGTGGTCTTCCCAGTCGTTGGAAAGAGACTTGTAGAATGAGGCGTACTCCTCCTGGGTAATGTCCTGGGGATTGCGGGTCCAGATGGGCTTCTGCTTGTTGAGCTCCTCCTCCTCAATGGTGGTCTCCTTGACCGTCTTGGTCTTTTTCTTCTTTTCCTTCTCCTCATCTTCGTCATCAACCTCCTCGATACGGGGCTTCTTGTCGTCACCTTCTTCTTCCTTGACCTCCTCGGCCTCGGCATCCTCATCAGGAACCTCCTTCTCAGTCTCCTTCTGGACGTGGAGGTAGATGGGGTAGGAGATGAACTCAGAGTGCTTCTTGATAACCTCCTTGATCTTGCTCTCATTCAGGTATTCAGCCTGCTCGTCCTTGAGGTGGAGGATGATGGAGGTACCACGGCCGAGCTGCTGGCTCTCGGTGTCAGCGGTGATGCTGAAGGTACCACCGGCACTAGACTCCCAGATGTACTGCTCGTCATCGTTGTTCTTGGAGACGACAGTGACCTTGTCGGCAACGAGGTAAGCGGAGTAGAAACCAACACCAAACTGACCAATCATGGAAACATCGGCACCAGCTGTCAAAGCCTCCATGAACTGCTTGGTACCGGAGCGGGCAATGGTACCCAGGTTGTTGACGAGGTCCTATTCAAGAAATGTTAGCCATCAAGCTCACCCTCTTAGGATAGCAAACGAAGTGGTTTTCAACTTACAGCCTTGGTCATACCAATACCAGTATCCCGGATGGTCAAAGTCTTGGCCTCCTTGTTGGGGATGATATCAATGCGCAAGTCCTTTCCAGAGTCGAGCTGGGTAGGGTCGGACAGGGCCTTGTAGCGAATCTTGTCCAAGGCATCGGAGGCATTGGAAACAAGTTCTCGCAAGAAGATTTCTTTGTTGGAGTAGACAGTGTTGATGATGAGGGAGAGAAGCTGAGAGATCTCAGCCTGGAACTCGAAAGTCTCAGACATTGTGATGGGTATCTAAAGGAGGAATTGTCTGATTAAGGTTAGTTTTAGTGTTCAACAGCGTTTGCAAAATCGTGAATCAACGGTGCTGTCCAGGTGCTTGGGAGGAGGGGAGACGATAAAGTGGTTGCAAGCTTGAGGGAGATTTCAATTACTTCCATATGAAATAATTGATGGCCAACACGGGCTTTAACCCGCTTGTTCGATCCAGGAAAGACTGTCCTTCAAGAGCAGGCTGAAGGGAAAATCAAAGGCAAATGCGGGCGAGTCGAGGTGGCGGGGAAGGCAGGAAACTGAAGCTTACCTAGACGCTTGGTTGGTATAAAGGAAAGGGAAGTGTTCACAGCTCCAAGGGAGAACACAAAGTCTCGATGGGCTAATTAAGATTTGGTAGTGGTTGGAGGAATGCGAGAGTATGGAGAGAGATGGGAGGAAAAAATCAAAAGTCGAGGGGAAGCAGAGAGCGAAGAAATAGAAAAGGGCTTCTCAAGGTGGTGCTGGTGCTTGCTCCGGCTCCAGAAAGTCGACAGATTCCATGAGATTCTACGGCTGTGCCTTTTCCACAGCAACGACATGCCCCGCGCTGATTGGCTACGGGTCATTGCTGCCGGGTGTGCAGGGTGCGGTTGCTAGAGTGGTCCAGATGTCTGGTGCTTCTACTAGAGCCTTCTAGCAGCAGCCGCCAGGTGCCCACAGGCATGCCACCAAGTGCATCCAGCTCCAGCGCTGAGAAGCTAGGCAGCACTTCAGGTCAATGCTAGGCGGCAGGCCAACAGGGCACCCCACAATTTCTCTTGACCGCTGTCAAAGAATGGCCATTTACAATTCTAGAGTTTTCGCAAGGACAATGGGATGGCCTGAAGTTACATCATGAGCCTATGACGGAGGTTAACTGGTGCGTTGTTTTTTTTTTAAATCTTGGAACCTATGTAGGCTACACTGGCGTCGCGTTTTCACGCACTCGATACGCCTCACTTTTTCTCCCGGAAGGCTGAAGAGTCGCTGTGGCGAGGCTGCGCGGGCCTGTGGCTCCCTTTTGACTGATCCACAGCGCCAGCTTTTGAGCCTGGTTCCTCATAGGCCAGGCCGCCCCCATAATGTCGCCTCCAAGGGTCCTATTTGACATTGATCTGAAATTTTACGTAGCCTCGCGTCATGCTAGTACCAACATTGAAGTGGCTGGCCGATTGGCGGGCAGCTCCAACCTACAGTGTCTAGCACGATCGTCGTCATACAATTGAATCATCGTACTTGTCAACCAACTTGATGCAAATACAATTTCCACGGCATTCCAAGGTTTCAAGGTTCCAAGGCCCCAAGGCCCCAAGGCTCCATGCCGTTCAATGTTGGCCGTGGGGACAAACGGCGGCGAGTGGTCGCCGCCTGTGCTCGAGCTGTGTCAGCCTACTCAAAGAGACACCAATGCTCAACTACCCTGATTGGCAGATTATCATGCCGAGTTGCATCACAGAGCTTTCTCTTCTATTAGCCCTGGCCTGCTACTACTCTGCTCCACAGCCGTCCGCATAGCAAGTGTTTGCTGCAGCTGACGTACAGCAAAGCCTGACTGTATGTAATACTTCGTTCGTTTCCTACTCTGGTGAATCACAATCCATTTGCTCCCAGATTGGTATATGCGCCGTCTCGTCCCCAAAGCTCCAGACAAAGGCGGCCCCGATGCAAACGAACCGCAAACGGAACAAAGCGCAACGGTCAGCGCGCATTCTCAATGACGCCTCCGACCTGTCTATATCTTCTATCCGCATATGCAAGCCCAAATTCTTTTGTCTTATTCCCGGGTATCATCTCAACAACCTCCCCCAACACGATGACATGGTCTCGTACACGGACCAGGCCTCCTGTAGCTCCATCTGGCAACAGCTTGCACCGGAGCACTCTCAAAACGCCCTCTCCTTTCAGCAGCGGCGCCGAACTCCCTCCATGCTGACCTTTATCCACCGTATATGCTGCCCCTTCAATGGTGTCAAACACACCGTCCATATTGCCCCGTGTGAAATGATCAGCGACTGCCGCCCCGCTTTCATCGCCTGCTAGAACGTGGATATTAAATTCCTTGCTGGACGTGATTGCATCGAGCGTCCGGCTCGGCGTGGCAATGTTGAACGAAACGAGAGGCGTTGGAGATAACGTCAACGACGTAAACGACGACATGGTCATGGCCCGAGGCGTGCCATTGTGAGTCGCCGTGCATACGACGATGGGGTTTGTGAGAAGTCGAAAAACAGAGCGGAGTTGTTCGGAGAGGGTCGTTTCGGCATCCGGGTTTGCCGTTGGCGCTGTTGGTGAAGAGGCCTTCCATGCTTGATGCGAGGCTAATGTTTGAAAGTGTTTTGGTATTGAGCCTGGGTAGCAGTCATTAGCCAGGACCACACACCATCAGCTCAGGCCAAGAAACTCACGACTGGATTGCGCCGTCCTTGACTCTCCCCCAGATTCCCCTGCTCGCGAGCGCAAGGGCAGCGGTTGTCGACCAGTTATCCACCCGCCTATCTCAATTGCTCCCATAAACGTATCATGAACACCTCTGAGCAACGGCATCAAAAAATATTTCCTCCTCCCCTCCACAATCATCGACCGCCGAGCACAGCAGCTCTCTCTCCATGATGACCCTCCACCCAACCGCCCCACCGGAACCTTGCGCAAACTTCTGCTCGTATTCTTCATTGTGTCATGCAGCTCATCGTGCTGTCCAAGTGCGATTTCGCCCCCCAAAGGCCGTACAATCGCGTTCGCTGCAAAAGGATGGGCGGAGGGAATCTGGGTTTGGTAAGTTTGGAGGTTGTATGTATGTCCGACGCATGTGCTCGTCACCAGGAAAATGGGCAGAAAACTCTTATCGATAAGAGCATCCTTGTGCGGGATGCCCTGGCATGCCAGTGGATGCGCCTGATTGGCAGCGGCCCGGAAATTTTGCGACGACCACCAGAAGCTCCGTGGACAGTCACATCACACCTGCAACCTCATCCAGACTGCCATCTATTCCACCACCGCCCATCTCACGAGTCTCAACGGCGCTTACGAGGGCAAAGGTCACACTTACGCGGGGTGGGCAAACTCTCACGATGGGCAGAATCACCTCCACAATGGCCCTCGCGCCCTCAAGAACCACCATCTCACACGCCAAATCTTCCACCACACACCCTACAAGTTTAGCCATTCAGATCCGCCACGCAACATTCATTCCTCGTCCCCGACGACCGTACACCTTCACCCAGCTTGTCACCCTCTCCGACGGCTCGACCTACACCATGCGCACTACATCCCCCAACCCCATTTACCGCGCATCAAAAGATACCCGCAACACTCTCCTGTGGCAGCCGAGCGAGAAGTCCCTCCGAAATGTCGAATTAGACGAAGCCGGGAAACTAGCTGCTTTCCGCGAGCGATTCGGTCGCGCGTTTGATGCCACTGCCCAATCGGACGAGAGCGAAACCCCCGCTGCGGCGAGCGAGGCCAGTGACGATGTGTTTGCGGATTTAATTACGGGATATGCTCCGCAGGACACGAGTACCATGAAGGATTCGGGACCCAAGAAGGCGCCCACGAGGAGGAAGTAATCTCGGAATGTATCAAGAGGCGGCGGGATGCCTAGGGATGGGCGCCTAAATCACCTTTGAACTTGTACATAGGGGAAGAAGGGCCGGAGAACTCGGAGTGGACAGTGGGCTTCAACAATGGCATTGATTGAATGCAGATGTTTGTCAATATGTACAATAACCAGCCCACCCATCTTGTATGATAAGAAAAGTAAAAAGACGTCTCTGGATTATGCAATCAAAGCATAGCTCCGACTCCTATTCCACATGGTTCCCGGAAATTTTGTTAATGTGACAAGAGTGTTGTTGACAAGAAACTAATCGCTACTGAGATATTATTATTATCTTAGTCAGAATCCTCATCCATCCTTGCCCTGGCCCTGTCAATTGCTGTGTCACCAGGTGGCTTCGACTGCTGTTGGTATACAGGCGGTCGATAGAAGACCGACTCATCATCCTCGGCATCCAGTTGCATCAAAAACGTCTCCCACTTTTCAATCAGCTACCAAGATGTCAGAAAATGATCGAGAATCAAAAGGGTCAAGGCTGAATGTTGACGCATCTTACCTCCTTTTGTGCTTCGACTGCACTCTCGAGGAATGTTTCTACTCCGCTCTTAAAATCCTCCACCTTTTCCTTTTCAAAGCGATCAATCTCAGTTTTCAGAGATCGACCCATCTCCTCAAATAGCAATCGTGCTTGATGCACCTTTTTCTCTGCCTCACCAACCTCAGCATTCACTTGGTTCAGGCGATCCTGCTGGCTCTTTCCCTGTCGAAGCAACTTGTCCTGTGTGCTCTTCTTCTTTTGGAGCTCAGACTCAGCGGAGTGCCAGGCGTAGAATCCCTTCTGACGTTGGCCAAAGGCCTGCTTCACAGATCCAATGAGGCGGATATACTCTTCGATAATGATTCCAAAAGTGAGCACATCCTGCTGGGCCTGTCGGTCGTACACATCCCGAATCGTGAGTTGTAGTTCGGACAAGGCATCCAGAGGTCCCGACAAAGTTGGCGACAGTTCAACGGTGGAAAGAGCATGAAGGGAAGCTGAAAAGTCACCGGCCGCCTCAGCCATCATCTTGCGCTGCCCAACCATTATTTCCATGGCCTTCAGGAGTCCCTTGAGCTGGTTCTCCAAAGCATCAAGGTAGACCTTGCGGTCGTGGAACCAATCATCTTGTTCAACAAACTTGTCTCCGCGGCCCACACTAATGCCCAGAGAGCCAAACACACCCTTGCTTTCCGCTGGAATAGGTTCCTTGTGCTCCCGGTGTTTAATATCAACATTGAATGCCTCACTCTCGAGGAACAGCTTGAGGTCGGCGTCATGTTGCAGGGTAGGGTGAGCGGCAGTCTTGTTAAGCATCTTCTCCAAAGCAGCTCGCCGAGCCTCGACAAAATTGCTATCGAATCGACCAACTGCTTGCTTTTCAGGCGGTGGGGGAACGATGGAGCCGGGATTGTTCGTGTGCAGGGTATTATATAGCCAGAGGAAATCGCGATATCGTCGTTTGACCTCGAATTCGGGCTGCTTATAAGCTCGAGAAGTAGTCTGTAAAATCCGAGTGTTCCGTGTCAGCAGGAATGCTTAGGCCTTGAACTACCCGATGTTGGGCCAATCTTAGCTAACCTTTGTTCGGACAGAATAAACAATGTGTGAGCTCGTCAGGTCACCAATTTTGACCGGGTCACCAACGGTGATATGGAAGGAAGGCTTGGAAGCTTGCTCAATGCTGACGCTAGGTTGTGTACTGCTTTGGACACTGCTCGGTCTGGCGGCATCCACTGGAGGCGGTGCCCTCGGACTTCCAGGGCTTTTGAAATCATCGTCATTCACATTGTGAGGGTCAATCGGTCGTCGGGGTTGTTGCTGTTGAGGCATCGTAGTTCGAATCACTATCTGCTCCTTCTGCGGCGGCACCGGCGGGGCGTCGGATGTTCCGTCATTATCATCAGCCAAGGCACTCAAAGGACCCAAAGGATCCTCCACAGCTTCAAGGCGGGTAGGCTGAGCGACGAGGCGCCGTGGCCCGCGCGAGGGCCGAGGTGCCGCAATTGTAGCTTGCGAACCTGCGGGCTGGGAGCTGGGAGGCCCGGTCTGGGAAATCTGCTGCGAGCTGTCGCCTGAGTCGGCCCATGGCGACTCCTCGACGTCCATGGTTGCGTATATTTGGCCGGTGGGATGGGCGGCACTGGGCTGGCACGAGGTGACGAGAGGCCGATGTAGGATGACGATGTTGGCAGAAGATGATGCTCAAGACGGCGGGCACCGAGCAAACGTCAGTGTCAGTGGTCACACTTGCGTAAAGCTCCGCATGGACCTTGAACTTGGGCCCCACTTTGGCGCGGCTTCCGATACTTGACAATATTCCGTTCAGAGCTCTTCGGATAATTATTGGGGCCTCATGGGCAACGTGGAAGCATCAACGACAACTGGTTCAAAAACTAACAGCTAATGTGCTAGACTCCCAATATGTCTCAATGACCGAGGTATCTATCTATACAATTACAGGTGTAACATCAGGGGACCTGATGCTCCGTCACACCCCCAAGCAAACCCCCCGTCAATCCTGATCCATGGTACAAGTTACCAGCCGAGAACGCCGATTGCAGTCCACCAAAATACCTTTACGCCTTGCATGCCACTCTGCTACTTGCTTCGCTCTCTCCATTTTCACGGTTAAACCTCCTCCTATTGTTGCGCTTAGCGACTCGTCGTGCCGCCAATGACCGAGTTCGGGAGGGCAGCATACTGTCGCATAACCACGACCGATTCATCAACATTGGCGAGTCTACGACCGAACAGCCCTATCGTTCGGGGTCGTAGCAGCCACCGACCATAACAAGATTCATTCGCGTGAACTTGACTCTCATGACAGGCGTCTTCTTGGTGGGAAAAGCACTGATTTGATCATGGGTAACCATGACTTCTTTGCCCTTCTTCTTCTGCGTTCCAGTAGAGGTTGGAACAGCGGTAGATTGCCCTGCAGCGGCATTCGCACGAGAGGCATCCGTGGCCGCACCAGTCGCAGCAGCGCCATCGGCGGCTGCAGAAGCGGCCGCGGCCTCCAAACCAGCGTGGGCAGCCGCCTTGTGAGGGTCGACTGGCTCTTCAACATCCCATAGCCGGACTGTACCGTCTTGACCGCCGGAAGCGAGGACATTGGATTCCACGCTAAAGCTCAGAGACCAAATGCCGCCGCGTCCATGGCCACGGGAACGCTTGATACGAGTGCCTTTGGCAAGGTCCCAGAAGAAGATGTTGCCCGCCAGATCTGCGCTGGCTAAAATCTTTCCATTTGGAGCACACTCAAGAGCCGTGATGTGATCAGTGTGGCCGGCAAAGACTCGTACACAAGCCCCAGTCACCACGGACCACATACGAATAGATTTATCCGTTTCGTCCGACGCGGAGAGTACATACATGCCATTTGGGTGCCAAGCAATAGCGGATATGGCAGTGTCGTGCCCCACCAAGAGGCGTTGTGGTGAAGCATGATCTTGCATCCAAACACGCAGCGCCTTGTCGTAACCGCCGCTTATGAAGTAGTGCCCGTGCGGGCCCCAGAGTGTGCGGTATATGGGGCCGTCGTGAGACTTGTATAGGCAGAGACATGCCCAAGACTCCAAAGACCACAATCGCACATGGCCGTCGGCTGAGCAGGAGAGCAGGAGTTTCGGCCTGCCATTCATTACAGGGTTGTGTCGGCCTTCGTCACCAAACAGCCTCTGAGCGGGACCAGATGCTGACTCGGAGAAGGAAACATCGTATACTGGTGCGGCATGCCCAATCAATTTGCGACTGTTGAATTTGGCATCCTTTTCGTGCGCATTCATTGTAGGAAGGCCCTTGCCGTCAAGGGACCAAACGCGAATATAGGACTCACTTGTGCCAGCCGCGACTAGCTGCCCATCATCAGAGAAGTCCATGCATGACACGCTGGTTGCAATGGTTAGAAATGTAGAGATAATTTTTGGTACGAAACGGTAATAACTCACGTGCCGAACGTATTGTGAAACGTAAACATGCAAGCACTGACGGATGTTCCAATGCCGCCCGTACGACCGTCAATCCTGAACCGGTCTCGGTTTTCTCGGACCTTTTGCATCTCGAGCATAATGTCTCGAGGCCTTGAGGGAGGCAACGGCAGATCGGCTCTGCTCGGGGCATCTACATCTTCCTCGCGTTTAATCTTCTGGTCAAAGTCCTCCAGCATGCTATTCGTGCCCTCTGCAGGTGGGTTTCGCTTTTCCTCATCCTCAATCTCAGCACGTACATCGTCTCGCAGATCAGGATCCATTGGCAAAGGTCCCAATTTAAGCGGTTGAGCCGGGTCGAGGATGTCTTTGTTCGAAAGGCCGATATTGACCCCAGGGATACCCTCCTTGGCATCAATTTCTTCAATATCAGCGTTCTTGGAGCGCCTGAAGACGGCCTCGAAGCTGAAAGGAGTAATGGGGCCACGGGCAGTTGAGTCAATCTGGCAATAGGTAACAAGAAGCTGGCGAATGACGGATCCCCCTTGCTCGGAATCTCTCTCCAAAAAATTGAATAAATCGCCCGTGGCGTGTTGGTTAAGTGGTATTCGGTACTTGTTTTCCTTGTACAGTTTCGCAGTAGGGTTCTCGGCGACATGCTGAGGTAATGCTATTGTGGAGAATGTCTTGAGGTCATCTGCATGTACGGGTTGGAAATAACTGCTCAAGTCCTTGAGAAATGTTTTCGCATCTTCTGTGTAGCCATGTCCAGCAAGTTCAAGAAAGGCGTATACAAACATGGGCCAGAGGAGCTTTGACAGCTCAAACTACTCCACAGCGTCAATGGTGAAAGTGAAGACACGATATTGACACAGGAAGGCTTACCTTGTAGAGCTCTAAATTGTTGTCTACCCATTCCTTCAAAAGTTTAAAAGCTTTCTGATACTTCTTGGGACCAATATTGGCTAGTTGCTGGATGGGCTTTCCGTCTGGTCCCAAGTGTTTGGACTCTTGTCGAAATACCTCCTCAGTGCGATTAAAGCCTCTCTTCAGCAGATAGTCGGTGACCTAAGGGCCAATGGTCAGCATTCAGTTTCAAAGAAAAATTTCGGTAACTGGCGAAAGAAGTGCAGATGAAGAAATAGTCCACGTTGTGGCAACCAATATCCCACAAGCACATGAGCAGGAGTCGGAGCCCACAACACTGCAGACTGACTTTTTGGATGTCACTCATGGCAGGGCTGGGTTGCCAATAGAACAGCCATAGAAGACGGTGAAATCGTGAGATGGAGCAGGGCGCAGCAGAATGCCAAGGAATGAGGCCGACGTAGCCGTGTGAAGCGGCAGGAAGCAAAGAGAAGGAGGAACGAAGGAACGAAGGAACGCAAAATCAAGTGGGAATAGCTGACGATTATGGTGCAGCTCTTGAAGTGAAGAGTCAAAGGCTCACTTACTATCTGGTTAAGATTCTGGTTTGACATGGCACCGCCGGTGGCACCAGCATTGCCCCCTGGTGCTGGTGCTGGGCCAGCCGGTGAGGTTGCCGGCTGCGCAGCATAGTTGGCAGCTGGCGCGCCAGCCAGAGGTTGCCCGCTCATTATGGCCTAATCGAGGCCGTGTCGAACACAAGGATTCCAAACGGAGTATGAAAATGCCGATGTGAAGAATATGAGATGGTGCGTGATGGGAAACCACGGAAACTGGATCTGTGATGAATGTCGTCGTCTGGTAGCAGGTGAGTCCCAGAAACGGTGGAAGCAATGCGGTCCGCAATGTTCGGGGTCGGCAGGCTTATGCACTCTCTCAACTCTTGCAACAAGCGTACGTGTGCCTCACCCTCGATGTGCGAGAGGGTGCTCCGGAATCGTGACGGCCACCCTCGATGTGTGTGGTTGCAGAGTGCTTCAATGAGTTGAGCTTCAACTTTATATTGCCCGAGCAGTTTGAGTTGGTCGCGTACATGTTGGGTGAGAGCTAGACTTTGGTTTTGCCGGTGTTTAGACGGAGAGATAGGTACCTAGGTACTTCCATGCATTCCTGTCTACGAAAAATACGAATATAAAGCCGCTAAATCTTGCCAGTAAAACTCGTGTTTTAACGTCAATGCCATAAAGTCTTTACTAAAAAAGAAACCCAGAATTTTATTGAATACTCCTTTACATATTTTTAGTCTTTCCGGGTGATGGCAAGCGCCTCTACTCGAGGGACCTAAGTACCGGGTACCTAACAAATTGATCCCCAGCCCCACTACTGTTGTGCCTGCATAGACCCATGCAGGTCATACAGGTGGGAGATTCAAACTCAAATCACATCGCAAGTTCGCAACTCCATCTTCCACAGTTATCTTTGTTAACATTTAACTAGAAAGAGGCCTTGAATTGTATCTTTCAAACAAGAGTCCATTTCATACACTGTTATTTGTCCCCCGAGCATCATCACTCGACAAATTTTGCGAAACGCCATCTCCACCAGAAACAAGGTTATAGCCTCCCTCTGAACACACGCGTATAGGTTCTACCCCATGAATAGCATGGCGTCACCAAACGATCTCATCATGAGCCAGGATGGCCAGTCACAACAAAGTCGGGTCTCGGAGCCATTCACCATTGAAGAGAACATTCACCATCTCAATGCCATCGACAAGTCAATCGCCCAACTCATGAGCCAAACCGCCACAGCTCTTAATGCCCTGACCACACAGGCATCAAACACCTCAGCACCCAACGGCGAGACCTCGTCCCTGGATCCGCCCGCTCAAAAAGAAGCGTTCAAGTCCGCCACTGACTCATTCCTCACAACACTCCATAGCATAGACGTGAGAATGAAGCGGCAGATCATGGCGCTAGAAGAAGCCGGGATCGTGCGTCTGTCGAATACGCCGCGTCAAGATCCCAATGGGGCCACCAAGGGATCGTTGAAGCCGAATGGCGTGGGGACGGTGGGAAACCTAGACGTTGGCTGGCTGAACAGTCGGAGCACGAGAGTAGAACGCGACATGGAGGCCGAGCTATGGCAGGATGCCAAAGAATTCTTGCAGAAGCAGCAGAGTGGGACTGGATCATGACAACAACAGCTTGAATGAATGGAGTATTGTTATGTGGAATATCACACGGCGATTAGCGACAGGCGTTTGGGGCTAATAATAGGAAACTGAATTCGGCGCTGATATGTCTTGCGAACACAAACTTGATGTATTCTGAGCTCCCACGTCCTGTCCCTGCTTTATACCATCTGAAAGCTACAAAGCTCCAGATGCTCTGGGGGCTGCTTCCTCTGTTGCCTGGGCCTGAACCTCTCCGCCCTGCGTCTCTCCCGCCTGGTTGTCTAGTTGTGCTGAGGGTCTTGTTGCCATGCCATATCCACGCTCGTCGAGCTCCTTTCGTAAATGCAGGTATCTCATTCGCCAGTCGCACATTGAAATAGTGAGGCCTATACATGCCACGAAGAATGCGCCGCTGGAAATGGCGAGTGCTATCATGATGCCATATCGCGCTTCGGGGGTGAGCTCTGGCTCACGAGTATAAATCTGATGATCGGTCGCCGCGAGCGATGGCATGCGAAGCCTATTGATGATTCCAGAGCGATGGAATATATACATGATGCTCGATTTCTGAAGATGATGCACAATTCTTTTGACGCGACAATTGTACCTGTTGATGGGCGTACTTGACAAGTATCTCTTTCTTGGTGAGGCGGCTGTCAACTTTGGGGAGATGCGGGACTTGAAGTTTGGCAAAAAGATTGTCAAGAAATATGAAATGGACACGAGGTTTGTTTGCCTGGATATGATAGCAAATTCACCTTCAAGTTGGACAGAAGACTTGGTGCGAGGGCTAGTTTGACGAGATTATAAGGCAATCAGATCACAGTGGTCACTGGTGGCACTGAACACAATTCGTACGAATAATAGTGCACCGACTTTCCGTCTTCTCAATGAGCTGTGAGTTTCTCCATCGTTGGCTATGCATTGCATGACAAACTTTCTGGATTCACCGATCATGTGTAGTTCTAGCAGAGCCGACGCAGTCCGACAAGCTGTATGCATCGAGAAGAAGCCAGTCAAGTGTCGCAACCAAGCAAGGTTTTGGGTCCGCAACAACTCGAGATATTCTTCTTCTCCTATTTTTCATTGACGGAGGAAAATTTTAAGTCCAGGCTTGCAAACAGTCTGAGGACACAAGTTCATGGTCGGGAAGAGCACTTGAAGGATTTTCCGAGTTCAATGAAGCCATCCGGCGTTTCTGAAATGCACAAAACATTGCCGCTTTCCAAGTAGCCAGGAAACCCTTCATCTATATTGCGCATTGTGCAGGATATTAGGGCTGCGCTGACGAACAGTGAGAACGGTGATGAGAGACGGCATTATACCGGATATAAGATGGGCCTGGTATATAGCCACATGGAGATTATACAAAGACGAAGAATTATTGCTTCCAAGGCTTGAAGAGGTTCTATGGTACTTGAGATTGGGATGGTGCGGAAGAAGCATTGTGCATATCCGGGGAAGCGAGATGGCCGATACAAGCAGGAGACGACGTGGCCGTGGAGCTCAAGAACATTCTGCCTCTGGCAAGCATGCTTCTTTATTAGCTGTTTGACACGTGAATGCTGGTAAAGACGTGGCTGCTATGTGGCCATCCATGCGAGGCAATTGTCGGCCTACGGTGGAGTGCGCGGATAGTAACAGGAAATAAGCGGGAGCGCTTGTGCCTCTGGTATCTGATAGCGGTCTGATTTAGCGCCCTCGATTGCTGGAGCGGTGACTGTGTTTCGGTGTTGATTATGGCGATGGTGGTGCATGCAGCTTGGTGTTGTGCAAGCCTTGACGGAAACATTTGATGTGAGATGATGAGTTGAGCCCAAAAGTTGTGCTGGCAAGGCTATTGAGTCTTTGATACGGGGTACCAGGCAGTACTGTGCATGCTCCAGCTCCAACAGGGACCATGACTCCCTGGAATGGCCCTGGTCTATGTCCAGGTTAAATTTAATTTTCAACATTGAATGCTAGTCGCTGAGGCCCGTCACTCACGTTGAGAGGTCTCCCTCTTACTCTCCAGTCATCATTCTGTTTCGGAGTCCGCCTCAGCCGTCTTCAAGTTGATGCCTCGCGATTGCTGACGAGTACGTGACGGGACGCCAAAGCCTATTCATTTGGACTGTCGCACAGGATCGAATGAGGGGTCAACAGTATATGTATTTTGTTGCACCCATCCTGGTGCCATTGAGTGGTCAACCGATTGCATTGCTATTGACGCGGGAAGCCTGCGACGCCAACCCCGCCCGCAAGAGGCTCTACAGATCCGGCTTGGGATCTTTTTTCCCCGGGAAGCCATCGTTGCGCTTTCTTCCCGCTCTCTCTGCTTAATAAAACTAGCCGTCGACAAGTGCAGAGTATACGCGCATTGCAATGAGCTATCATGACCCAAGTCGATGCAAGACGGCCTGCAAGATTCGTGTCTTTTGGGGTGGCAGGTCAGTGCTGCGTCAAGTTCGATTCCTGTGCCAGTGCTTGTTTATTCCATGTCTCTATTTTTGTTTTGGGTCCTCCCTCCCTCCCTGAATCCTGCGCCCTATTACCAACCAGCAATTAGTTTTAAGTGTTGACATGGGCTGCGAAGGCGTAGCCAGCACCCCGTATTTTTTTTGTCCTGTAGTAGTGACATGTACTCGCTTCCTGCGGACCAACCAGAGAGCTTGGGTCTCTTTCCTCCTGTCCAACTTCCACTTGCCGTTCCTCGACCCTCCGCTTCCCCGTTGACTGATTGTTGAGTAAGAACACAACAAGTTGCGCGGGACATTCAGGTGTTCTGCCTGTACCCTGGCCACGAAACTTTACAACAGGCCATTTTTTCATTCGCCCCGTCGTCCCAACTCCTGACGGCTTCACGCCGCGACCGTCTCAGCTTCAACTCCACACGCCTCAGCGACTGACGCATTTCAGCTTGTCATCCGGAGGGTCCGAGCCCAGCAACTCGAAACCCGGCCATGGGCGACCCTTTGGCGAGAGGGACACTCTTGTCCTTCTTCCTCCTCATAACGACTTTGGGGAAAATGGCCGACGGACACGATCATGGCGACAGCCATATTCCCGAGGGACAGACTGTCTCCTTGGAACCGCTGGTTAGTACTCCATTATCGACGAGGAGGATGTGAGCCGACAGGAAAATGGATGAATCCGAGCGAGGTCTGACGCGTGTGCTACAGGATACGACATTATGGATTCACATCTTTATCAACATGTTTGCCTACGGTGTCATCTTCCCTATCGGGATGGTGCTGGGAGTAAGATGCACTTTGTTCATGGACAATGTCTGTGACCGCCAACTTTGCTAACTCTGCGATTCAGATCACCAAGTCTCGATGGCACGTTCCTACACAAGTTGTCGGTTCAGCTCTCGCCCTTCTAGGTTTCTTCTTGGGCCATGCCCACAGCGGCCGAGAATTCGTCAGCCACAATATTCATTCCGTCTTTGCCAACATCCTGCAGCTCCTCTTGATCGGCCAGGTTGTTCTTGGTCTCTACTTGAAAGGTCACTGGGAGAAGGGCGTGAATGGCAAGATCAGAAAGCTGATCCGACCATGCCATTCAATTATCGGAAAGGCGATGCCTCTGTTGTCGTGGGCACAGATGATTTTTGGCGGAATCACGGCTCTCGGGTTCTGCCAGGGCGAGCATGTTGGCCAGTGTGCCGCCCACTTTATCATGGGAGGCGCTTTTATCGCGTATGGTGTCATTTTGACCATTATACTTCTCGTTGGCCAGATCTGGATCCAGCGGACCGGACGATCGCAGGAATTCTTTGACAGCGCCGTCATTGCAGCCTGGGGCTGCGTCAACACCTTCACCGAACACCGCTGGGGGACCGCTTGGGTCAAGAACGACTGGCAGCACACAACCATGGGCATCATCTGGTGGTGCGCCGGCCTGGCGGGTATGTGGCTCAGCAGGGATCGAGATGGCAATCCAAAGCGCAACTTCATCCCCGGCTTCGTCATCCTGGTGACTGGCTGGGCCATGTCGGCACACCCTCAAGAGCTGATGGTTAGTGCCATGACACACAGCACATTCGGGAAAACCTTGATGGCCGCAGGACTCTCCCGAATTATCGAGATTGCTTTTGTTTTGAAGGATAAGCAGTCTCTGTCAGAGAGCGGACGCTCTTGGAACAGCTTCCAATACATTCCTGTCTTTGTACGTGTACCGCCTCGGTGTCGATTTCTAACAGTTCCTCTTGCTAACTGTGCATTAGCTTTTGTACGCCGCCGGCTTCCTTTTTATGGGTGCGACCGAGGAGCAGATGAACCTCGTTGCTCAATCCAGCATGGACGGCGTCTCATATATCCTCATCATGTACTCGCTGGCCTTTCTCGTCTTCTTGTTCACCAACATGCTTGTCCACCTTTACGACCGCCTCGCCAACCCTGACATCAACACCAAGGACTTTCCCAACGGCCACTCCCGTGCCAGTGGGCATGCGGCCGAGGAGGGCCAGCTCCGGGATGCTGAACAATTTGAACTAGACGGCCTCATGAGCGATGACGAGGGTGGTGAGGGTCAGGCTATGCTGAGAGAAAGCTTGGACCGTCCAAGCATAGACACCCCGAGCACTCTTGGCAAGAACAATCACGGACGGGTGTAGAGATTAAAGATTTAAGAAGAGGATAGAAGAATCGAGATTGGTCATTTCGCCGTCTCGAGTGTTTTGGGTATTCATGCAAGAGGCGTACTGGTGATGGGTAATTTTATATTTGGCTTCAAGCCTTTGGGTATTACTTAGTTTTAGGAGCATAGCAGTTTCCGAGTGTCTTCATCGTTACGAGTGTGGCCCGTCAAAGTATGCGATCTCTTATCTCCAGAGGAGTGGCGTCTAAGCTACTTAGATGTATGTGTATGTATGTTGTCCACGGCGGATGCAGTCGGCGCCACCACAGATGTGCGTTCTCTGGCTGGTGACCAAGTGGGGGATTGCCCATCCACATCCGCAACTTATACGGTGGGGCAGATTCTGCGGTGACCGAAAGTTGACGCAGAGAAAACATGCCACTTCGTTTTCCACCTTGCACACCATCGTCAGAGCCGCAAGAAAGAGGCACAAAGTCAACATGCCGTCCGTCAAGAACCCCAACGGCCCGTCCAAGAACCGGCTCGCCGCCCGCGCTTCTTCCGCCAAAAAGGTCCGCAGAAAGCGCAGCGAATCCGCCCGGAACAAAATTTCCAAGCAGGACGTCGCCCGCGGCGCAAGACCCGGGATCCTGCCCACGAGCGGTCCGCGGGCGAAAGTGAGCGCCAAAAAGGCGAGGAAGCTGGAGAAGAAGATGGGGTATGCGCTAAAGAGGAGAATGGAGGCCGAGGGGGAGAAGCAGATGCTGGGTGAGCCTGAACTTGCGACTGAGTTTTTTTTGCGTCTTGGTTAGGACAGCACTGACGAGTCTTGTAGATGCGCCTGATGTGGATGCCGAGGTTGAGAAGCAGCTGAATGCGGAGAACGACATGGATATCCAGTGATGTGCGGATAATGGCCACGCTCTTTGCCCTTGAAGATTTTATGATGGGATGATGGGGGCAGTGGGGAGGCTGGCGTGGCATTTGGCATTTGGCATGACGATTATTGCGACACGGTATATGGTTGACGTGTGTTTTTCTTTGCGGTCACGGAAAGGCGTTGGGGATTGATAAAAGTTGAGAAATATTGTACTGCTGACTGGTTCTTTTGGTTGTGCTGGCGACTTTGAAATGCATGCGAGTCGTGTTGATGGGGAAGAGATGACGGAGCAGAGCAATGAGGTGGGATCCTATTGTCTGTTTGGATTCTGTGATGTCGCTGATTGTGCGAAAGTGGGTGCTAATGAATAGCAAGCAACTCCGTGACTGCCATTGCTGAATGCTATTGTTGCAACACCTTGGTACATGTGCTCTTTTCACCACTTTGTCTTCTCTGATCTCTTCTCTTCTCTTCTTGTTCCTCTTCTCTCTTTCTCTCCCGTTTTTTTTCTTTTCTTCCTTTTCTTCTCTTTTCCCTCTTCCAGAGATGAAATCAGAACCAAAAAGAATCTCGGTCCAAATGTTCTCGCGGGGGCACTTTGCACTTTCCTCAGCCCAGTTTCGTTTATTTCAAGTCACCCTTGTTTACTTCAATAAGCTCTTGGGGAATGCATCATCCAAAATAAATGACTGGCCTGCGATGGGACACACCGGAGTCGCTACGAAGGAAGATGTGCTACCTGGCGATGGAAGCGCCCGGCGTGGCAGTGACCAAGCTTGTGTAACTGTTACACGAGCGGCAACTGGCAGCGGTACGGTTTAGTCCTAAATATCGGGCACGATTAAAACTAACATCGATTAAAACTAACAAGGCGTTTCAGCTTGTGACGACGCCCAACACCTGACGGCCAGAATCGAAGCTCTGTCCGAGTCGCTCCGCAACTCGTTGCCCGTGGGATTGGTTCCCTATAAATTGGCCGAGGCGCTTCGACACGACTCCAACCATCGTCTCCAACTAGCAAGAGAACAAGGCATTAAACTGGAGCATCTTCACATAGGCGCAGACTGTCTTCCTACCTGGAGCACTCTCTATTGGGACCCAGAAAACGAGTCCCTCCACAGCACAATACAAATGCACCTCGTCCACCTTGACCTTGCTCAAAAGTTGGGAGAGTTTCTGCAGCGGCAGATTCGAGACAAGAGCAATCAAAGGTTGCGTCAGGCTCGGGCGCTGGGCATCAAACTTGAAAACATATTCATCGGCGAGTCCCTTCTGCCAGAGTGGACTGCCAATAAGGGCGGCAGTGACCGTGAAGAGGTCTCCCCTTCTGCAGTCGATGATACGCTGAGCGGCTCTACACGCGTTGGCACTGGACACGACAGCTTGGGTACTGTCGTTGGTCCTATTACCGACTTGTCCGGAACGGATGCTTGGCAGCATTCTGATTCTGAAGGCTCCGTCTCGTTTCCGGGCGTGGCACCGTGCAATGTCCACGACGGTGACGAGGACGACCAGCACCCCGACGAAATATACATGAACAACCACGTGGATACACGGCCAATTTATGACGAATACGGAAATTCTAATATTGTTCACGACGTGGAGATTGTTGGTGGCCATGGTGAGCATGACACTGTCGACCTGGGAGTATATATGGCAGTGGACGACGAAGAAGTAGATGACCTGCCAGAGGTAGAATTGGCCATGGATAGGAAGGGCTTTGAACAACACTTTGGAGATGAAGATGCTGTTGATGTTTACATTCCAGACATGGAAATATTCTGTTTCGACAAGATTGAGGAATACGACGACGACGACGACGACGACGACGACATGCATGAAGATGATGACAATCCCCAAGACACTTTGAGGTTAGAGCCATCTCGTTATATGGAACTAGATGATGATGACGGTCACGGTGAAGACGACGCAATCTCACAAGGAAATGCTATGGACATTTGCGAATCTGATGACAGTTCGTCCGATTCAGAGATGTTAAGTGAGGAGGAGTAGATTCTTTTCGGGCAGTTGCGCTGCTTACAGCATCATCTTTATAGGCGAGGTTAACATTGTACACAGGCGTTGGGACAAAGGATGGCTGTTGAGCCCGGGACCACCAACGAGATTTCACTTGTGTACTTGGCTCGAGATCTGGGATGGGTTCACGCTGGAAACTGGGCTACACGGGAGTTATGATGCCATGATATACAGAAATAATACAAAATTATCTTATCACAGTTGCTGCGTGCAAAGGCCTCTGTGTCAGTATCCAGGCCTTTGAGGCCATCTAGCTACTCCCATGCGTGCGTCGCAAGACTCCGCCTGATTCGCAGGTAAGATGCAGAAACCGAAAGCACAAAATGTCCCACGCCTCGCCTATTCGTCGTGATAGTCCCCTGAATATCCGTGTATTTGCATTCAGGCCATCGGCAGCCCTGGGACCAATGGAGTCCGGACCGTCAGAGTCATGGGCTTGTACATGTGCCGCTGGGCATGACTTGACACGCCTAGATACATAGGACCAAACACCTTTAATTTTCGTTCTTTTGACAAACTCTATTCGCGGCGGCGTTTCTCACAGTGACAGACGAGCTCTAACAGAGGGACCATGCACGCCGCTAGGTCGCGATTTAACCCATTTCGTTCTACGTATCTTGGATGGCGGCACCAGGACGCTTAAATTCAAGGCTAAAGCCAGACTGGAAGGATCCATGTGCACATGTACAGCTATAGTCTGCTAGTAGATACAACACAGTGCACTTGTAGGCGGTGCCGAAAACCGCTTCCATTCGAAATCCAGCGCGAGACATGGTCATCGACAGGTTTGACATTGGGCACGGGAGACTACACTCTTTCACAAAGGGGGCTCAACGAGAAACAAAAAAAAAGAGGGTGTAGCATCGATAGTCTACACAATATGGACCGCTGTCTAGTAGCTGGTTTTTGAGTTTTGCCCAAGTCGACGCTTGTTCAGAAGCCAGGAGTGCATCGTCGTGAAGCCACGCCGTCGTGTAAGCCGACGCGGTTCTGCCCATTTCTTCACGCGCAGAGGAATTCTCAGCCCAGCACTCTATTTGTTACAACACCCCCAAAAAAATCTCAACATGGTCGTCATATCCAAGTTCACGGGCTGCTGGGCCCTCTGGGCTCTGGCTTCGCTCGGTCGGCTCACTCCTGTCGCCGGCTATCCATCGCAAGATGCCGCCAGTGTTTCCGTGTCCAATACAACCAACCTCACACGCGGGGGTTACGTCCCCGACATAGTCCCAAAGCCATTCTACGCCATTGCCAACAGAGTACTCACCAAGCAAGGTGCCTTCGATGCTCTGCAAATGGGGGCCAACGGCCTGTACATCCCCGTCTGGGGATGGATACACACCGGATGGTGGGCCGACTATGATGGCAGAGGCCGCTCCGCAGGGGATAAAATCGAGAATCTATTCAAAGAGATTGTCAAGTTTCGCATCGAGGGCAGAAACATCTGCCTCGTCTGGCTGGACCTTCGGAGCCCGGATTGGTGCACGCCGCACTACCCTCGCTGCATATTCGACAGGCTGGTCGGTTTCTCTCGCAATATTCTTCAGAGCCAGGGCATCTACGTTCTCTACGGGTTCCACCTCGAGAGCGTCAATGGGAGTGCCTATGCGTCCCTCCAGGACGACCTCAACGACATGGAGGCCATCTCTATCGAGGGTGAGCTGGCAGAGGTAAATGCTTCCTTTTGGAAATACGGGCCCTCGGCACCCGACAGTCGGGTCATGTCGTACGGATATTTCAACTTGGCGACGCCGCGCTTCGGCCACTGCAACGAGGAGAGGTTCTATGTTTGCTCGGAGCTCAAACGGGGCGCCAAGAGCAGGGACGATGTTGGCAAAACGTACGCCTGGACCGTGTCGGGTGATCAGTCCGTGTACGTCGACAGGCTGATGGATGCTGGTGTCGATGGCCTTGTTTTCGGCTTCAGAACCATCGACTTTGACGAGCACGATGCGCCGTTTTTCGCCTTTAGGAATATCATTGACTGGATCGACAGTCATCCGTACCGGTATTTGGCCAACATTTACGATAAGCCGTGGGATCGACGTCTGAACAATGAGTCGGATAATAAGTAAATAACAGGCATATGGCTATATTGCATTTCAGGACGTTATCAAGCCGAGTTTGTTGCTTCAACGTGCTCCCGCTCTGCAGCGGGTACAGTCTCCAGAGTAAAGTGTGTCTACCCCATGATGTCTTTTACGTCGACATACTAGACTGCCGTGTTGTATTCGGGGGCCATGTGCTTGTGGTTCAATAAAATTATTTTACTCCTTCCCAAATATCGCTGGCAAATTGTTGAATCGAATCGTCCTCAATCGCCCTCGTACAAGGAAATAGCAAAATGACGGACCTGGTATAAGCCGTTGTAGCCTCTTCGAGAACAAGAAACTTACGCGGAACGCTCCACAAGCCGCTCGTCAGGAAGCATGATGGCCCTGTCCAAACCGTACGGCATCCCCCGATGTCGGCCACGAAGCATCATGGCACACATGACGACCTTTCCAAACGTAGTAAACTTTGTCGACAAGGCCGAAGTAATGTCTGGGTAGCCCAAGGTTAAGCCAACACCACCGCTGGGGAACAAATCAGCCTCAGTAAACTTTAGTCGAGACGGAGTCGCCATGTCAATAAGAAAAGAACTTACTACGCCGAAACCACCTCAAAGAATATGGCAAAGAATGAAAAAGCCTTATTGCGGTCAGCAACTTGCCCCCTAATTTGACGATGGAAATGTCCCCAAGAATAGACAGAAGAGAGAGAAAACGTACCGGCTGATTGGGATCCGCAAGTTTAGTCGCCTCGGAAACACTCAAGTAAAACAACCCCAAAAAGATGTACCACAGATCAAAACCGAGCTGCTTCTGCATATGTTGGAATAAATACGACGCCCCTCTGTCTTCGTTGTACGTCGGGTCCTGCGCATAATACCCAAGCGACTTCTCTTCGTATATGTTGGAGGACCGAATGCTCATGGCGATGGGGA